GCCATACACAGCCAAACTCAACCTGAACACACACAAAGTCACAGCCGAAATAAAAACAATAAGTGTGGCTTGATATTGAATAAGAAAAAGGTTTATAGGTTGATAAACGCTGTGAGAATGGGTCTGCAGAGAGAATTTCACGCGATCCCAACTGTCTTTTATCAGCCTGCAGCACGGAGCAGAAATCAGCAGGGCTGCCTGCACTGAGTGTGTGTGTGTGTGTGTGTGGATTGGTCAATTTGGACCAATCAGCGGGGGCTTAACGTAACGGCTCCGCGGACGTAACGTAACGGCTCCACGGATTGGAGACTCTGCACACCGTTTACATGCAGAAAAACCTTCATAACACACAAGGGGACGGGTAATAACCGGAAAAGCATGACATGTGACCTTTAATGAAAGACGGTCTGCATTTAAACAAAATGTTTTAATAGGTACTTTGGTTTGAGTAGTGTATTTCTTGTCACTATGTTTGGATGTTGATGAATAGTCCTGCAATGAAAAACTAAACATGTCCTGTTTCTCACAGTAGGGCTCAAAAGTTCCACTGTTTATAAAAGGGTTGCTGGTTAGTGATTAACCAAATAAAATAAAAAAGGTACAACTTCCTCCTTTTCTAATTCCCACAGTATCTACGCAAATACCATAACATTTGCACCATATAACTTTCTTATAATGTTTTGACCTTCATTTTCCCAGCAAAAGTACAGCAAATGTTTTCAAAACGATTGTGCATTAACTCACCAATCAGAATGAGCCGGGTGGTTTGGAAGAGCCTCTCGTCGTTCCAGTCAGGGTGGACCTCCTTCAACACGTCACACACCCGGTTGTGTTCCCGCAGCCAGATGGTGGCGTACATCATCAGACCGGGGACCAGGCCGAAAGCCTCGTGGCCCACAGCGAAGCGGTGCGACTCGGGAACATGAGGTGGGTAGTGCATTTCAGCTCCCACTTCCTTTACTGTTGGGGGGTACACCTCTCCATCCAGGATCTGAAGAGTTACGTAAGAGAGAAAGCAACTGTAAGAAACTTGTGTGATCAGAAGCATTGTTTAAAGGACTGTCCATCAGACTCTTCTCATACCTGATGTTTAAGCTTGCCATCCTTGAAAAGTCTGAGCTTATGTTGCCTTTCCAGGGCGTCTCCATAAATGTGGCTGAGGTCCACCTGAAAGCATAAACAGCATTAATAAAATGTATTAATTCACAAATATATTCGTCGACTTTTTCCCAATTAGAATCTGACTAGGCGTGAAATCTGAAATGCTTACCCCGTGACCTTTAGCAAGGGTAAAAGCAGGTCCTTTCTTCATATCAGATTTGAAGAACTGGTGTGTGAAATGCTGTGCGAAGAATGCAAACATCAGGCTGGTGCCCTGCGGGTCCGGGATAAACTGTCTTCTCATCAGAAGCTTCTCAGCCAATAGCTTTGCATCAGGTAGCTCCTTTTTACCTGGGGAAGGAGTTAAGAAAATCACAGTTAGCATGCAGCATTGCAATACAGAATCAAGGCAGTTTGGATATAACAGAAGAACATGATTCAAATGTAGTGATTTACTCTATCACTGAAGTTAATAGTCTTAATAAATCAGTTTGTCCTTCAGCTTGGACTAGCTGGTGCAGGTTTTACTGCGTCCCTTAGGCAAATTTCCATTCTGCCAATCCAGCTGAAGGGATCCAGGTTTGCTGTGCTTGTGATGTAATGCGTCCATGCTAATCTTGCTAATTATTTAAGAATCTGAAATAACTGGTTCTCCAGAGGCAGAGAGAGTGTTCTCACCTACTACTCCCATAGGGGTTGGGCAATCCTCCGGCACAGGGGGGAGGGAGCGTGTATAATAAGAAAGGTTGGAATAGGCTTCCCAGCTTTTGTATCCATAATCAGCATTGAAAGTTGGAGGACTATCAATCAAGTGGGATCGAGCTAGAGGGAGAAAAAAACATTTCATTATTAGTACAAATGCTATAACTTATTCTTCAAGAGCAGCTGAACAAATGATTGGATGTGTCAATCTATTTAATTATTTTTGCCTTCAGCTAGAGACGCTTACATGTCAGCACATATTTCATGATGCCATTTCGGAGAAATGAGATGTTGTTGATGATGTTCCAGAAGCCCTTAAAGTGGGTGAGAAGGTAGTGAACAGTGTTGGGCGACGGCTTCAGGGATACTTTGATCCAGGTGAGGAATTCAGCTGTAAAGCCAAGAGGGAACATTAGTCATTGAATAAAAGACCACAGCCATTACAATCACCTCACTTGTGCCCATCACACTCACGTGTTGTGCAGTTGTGTCCTTGATATCCTGTTCGTGTGCAATCACATTCGTAATTATCTGCTCCTTGTGCAGTGCAAACACCCTTGTTCTGGCATGGCTCTGAGCAACATGGGTTACCTGGGACAGACAATGTTGGACAGTCATTCATTTGGTTCACTTCATGGCATAATTTTTAGTTTTAGAAAAACATGTATATGAATAAATAAATCTCATAAATGTGTGTGTGATAATAAAATTCACTTCTGACACTCAAATGGTATTGATACCTTTTAGTATTAGAGGCTATAATATATATATTCATACACAATACATTTCAACATATTGAATATATATGTATGACTTCTGATAGACCAATACACACACAAAATTGAAACATGTATATAACATTTCAGCCAACGCTGAAATTAAAACGCGAAGTAAAACAATTCCAGCATCTGTTTAAATTTTAAAATCAGATGTTCCGTTTACTCACCCCCTGCGCAGACAAGAACACCCAGCGCCAAGAAGAAAACTGCTAAAGTAAATGTGTTCATGCTCCAAAGTCTTTGTAGATTCTGGTTCTCGCTCTCGTTCTTCTTTCCTTTTCACTCTTCTCCTACTCAGCGGTGTCGCGCTGAGGCAGACTTTGAATGTGTAAACCTGCACACCGAACATGCCTTTTATATAGTCCTTCATACGGTGACGTCATTTTGGGGATGATAGTTCACCGGACTTATAATACATCAAATATTTTAACGTGAGGAATTTTTATTCTTTCACAATCTTAATGTCTCACGAATTTAGTCTTCAATAGAATCAAGCTAAATTGTACTGATATTTGACAGGCAAAGCTTCCCTTTTTTAATTTATTACAATACTAATATTGAAAATAATTTTTAACAAAAGAGACTGAAAAGTTCCAGCATTCATTTGCAAAGCAGTTCAGTCTTAATTATATATAGACTACATAGCTTTCAAGAGGGCTACTTTTATTCAGAATGATTATATTATTTAATATCATAAAATAAATGTGTCCTAATCATGGATCACTTAGAAGATAAAGATATATAATGTATGTGTAGTATTTTATTTATTTCAAATTACACGCGAATATGTTCTCTCTGAAAGATGAGACAATTAAATTCACATTATTAAATGGCTGTTTGAAACCAGCAGATCCACGGGTCTCTGATAGTATCAAGGTAATAATGTGAATTTAATTGTCTCATCTTTCAGAGAGAACATATTCGCGTGNGTGTGTGCCCTATGGCCAAGACCAAAGAGCTGTCAAAGGACACCAGAAACAAAATTGTAGACCTGCACAGGCTTGGAAAAGAAAATAGAAAATGGAAGACATACAAGACCACTGATAATCTCCCTCGATCTGGGGCTCCACGCAAGACACCCCGTGGGGTCAAAAGATCACAAAACGGTCAAAAAGGAGAACGGTAACTAACGGGAGGGAATGCTGATGCATCCAACACCATACACAGAAAATCTTTGGAGGGAGTTGAAAGTCTGTGTTGCCCAGCAACAGCCCCAAAACATCACTGCTCTAGAGATCTGCATGGAGGAATGGGCCAAAAATACCAGCAACAGTGTGTGAAAACCTTGTGAAGACTTACAGAAAACGTTTGACCTCTGTCATTGCCAACAAAAGGGTATATAACAAAGTATTGAGATTAACTTCTGTTATTGACCAAATACTTATTTTCCACTATAATTTGTAAATAAATTCTTTAAAATCAGACAATGTGATTTTCTGGATTTTTTTTTTGCTCATTTTGTCTCTCATAGTTGAGGTATACCTAGGATGAAAGTTACAGGCCTCTCTCATCTTTTTAAGTGGGAGAACTTGCACAATTGGTGGCTGACTAAATACTTTTTTGCCCCCCAAACGTATTTGGTTTATCTCTCCATTTCTGTGTGATTAATGTCTGCAGATTCAGTTGTTTGAGATATGTAGGTGGGTGTTTGCATGCATAATATAAAAAACATCAAGTTTACCCGTAATTAAAATGTGCCGTTTTACAATCCAAATGTAAAATATAGGCTCACATGTCCATTATTATGTTAAAACTGCTATTGCTATAAGCTATATTGTTTCACCTGTCCATACTGACTTTGAAGAGAGTCCTTCAAAGTGCAACCCAAATGCAATTGATAGACAATCTAAAGTCCTTGTTATGGAAGAAAATAAAAGGCATGGTTAAAGGATCAGCAGGTGGTAAGATGAGGATAATCAGTACTCTTGAGATAGACAAAAGTTAAAATAGTGTTAGCATAATATTCTTTGCAGTGTTTCTTTCATCAGCAAGTAGAAAAAAGGGTGAACTTCTTAATAAATACTATCGGTATAAATCAGTATAAGCAGTGTGCCCTACTTTATATTACTTAAAAGCAAGTACAATTTGTTTCCATGTTCATCATTTGAGTATTGTTGTTGTCAGATTTGTAACGAGCGCGAGCCTTTCCTCCTGCCCTGCAGCATGAGGTGGGAGGGAACTGTCTTATTCAATAAGGAAGTGCTGCACTTTCAAGCCTTATAAGGCCTATTAGACGGAAACCGCTGGCTTCACACTTTACAGAAACACTATAATTGGAACTGCTGTATCAAAGAGGAAGCAGATCGTTTAGCTCATGAGCAAAACCTTGTGCTTCTGCTACACTCAACCTACTAAGCTAACCGGCAGAAAACACGATGAAGTTACTCGACTATTTAAAGACAAAAAAGATATATAGGCCTGGCCTACCATTACATTGTGAACCTGTTTGCAAATGCACACTTGCTTAAAAGTTCATATAAAGCTCGGTGTGTCTTGGAGCAGACATCCCTGGAATGTGTCTGCCAGGCAAGTCTGGACAGTAACTGGCCTACTTGCAAAACGCCCTTTCATACAGGCAACATACTATACAGAGAATACATGAAGTTAACCATAGCAGCCATAAATAAACACCGACCATTGTGGTTGGTTTCTTCAGCAGTATGTGGATGCTAACAGGCTAGCTAATCATGTAAAGGATATTGTCTGATGAGGGAGTCCACCTCTGCCTCGTCGGGTCCCAGTTGGTTTTCTGCTCCGTCCTCCTCGTCCACAAATTTGTTCTCGTCGTACTCGTCCACGTCCACACGCCTGAAGCGGGCAGCGTTCCCGGTGGTCTTCGCCATGTTGTTGGAGGGTTTTAGGAGTCTATTTCTAATCGAAAAGGACAAGAGTTCAAGCCCAGGTCCGGCCTTTTTTTGTACAGTGCTTTTCTTTGATACGGCTGTCACAAGCAGGCAGCTTCCTGATTTTCGTCCCGTTTCCTCTGGGTGGGTTTTGCTTCCGCGTTCACGACATCGCCCCATAGTGGACACAATGTGAAACTGCAAGTAGTTGTCTGTAGTTACCAGTTGTTGCCACTAGAGAGCGACAAAACATTAGACTTCCAGTTTAAACCTCAATTTATGTATTGCCCGGTATTGCCTCATGCCGAGGAGGTTTTCGCCATAGACTGTATATATAAGTATATATTATATATACTATATAATATAATATACTATATATTCGCCCACAAAGAAATGTTTTGGTGTTTTGATGCATACAAATAAAATGTCAAAAGAAAAACAAATCAAGTGTGGTAAAGGTAAAGGAACTTCAATATAAAAACATATTTGTTATCAATGGAAGAGCTAAACAATTCAATAACAGAGAAAAATTGGCAATTAAAAATCTTCTCTATCCAACCAAGACTCTAATTAAATTGAACTTATTGTCATGTAACATGCAACCAAATCATGTTATTCAAAGAGAGTGCACCCATTTCCACCGACTTCAGGACAAATGACGCCAAAAGGTTTAACCAGGCTGCTTTTAATAATCCAGATTTTAAATGAATGTCTTGTTTCAAAGCAATGTCTTACAATCAGAGGTGGAAAAAGTCCTCAGATCTTGTACATAAGTAAGAGTACCACAGTGAAGGAATACTTTGTTACATGTAAAAGCCCTGCATTCAAAATGTTACTCAATGAAAAGTGCAAACGTATTGACATCAAAATATACCAAAAGTAAAATTACTCATTACGTCCGGCCTCAGTCAGTTGGGGCAGACCTAAATATGGATTGTGGACTGCTACTCGGAGAGGTCTCAGTTCACCTGCAGTGGTGCCACCGGACACCCCCCCCCCGTAACTAAAGTCTGCTTTACAGTTTTTCTCGGTTGCTAACACACTAAAATGCTACATAAAGCACAATTATTTTAACTGACACTCAAAGAGCAAAACATCGGCTCAAATCTCCAAAACTCTAAACACGTTTCCAGCTTTCCACACAATTTGCAAATCAACATGGCACTTTCTTACAGCAACAATGGAAGCCAACATGGAAGCATTAGCAAGAGGAGGAGGAAGAGGAAGAGCAGGGCTGAGACTGAGAGGAGGAGGAAGAGTACTCTAATGAAATGAAATGTTAGCAACCATGGTGTGGCGATGAGAGAGGCTGGACAGAGGGTTCAGCCTAATCTAAACCGATTTACTGTCGCCTCTGTAATCCGGACACTTAGAATTGACAACAGGTTAGTTACCAGTTTTAGCTCTGCATAACTCATGATATATCAGTGCAGTGCTTATATCTGTTGTGTGAAACGTATTTACTTCATTACTGTAATTTAATTGTTGGCATGTTGGTGTATAACTGCACAAACATCCTGCACAATTTACTGTGGTAGACTTACTTTTATGCAACACAGACACTGACCAACCACTATATCTTTGTTGTTTATCTGAAGGACTGAGAAACAAAGAGGTGCAGGTGGAAGGCTAAGGATTTTCAATGAGGCACAGGAAGCAGCAGTTACAAACTGGGTTTTGGCAAACAATGCCATCACACTTAGAGAGATCCGAAGCATAGTAACTATGTGCTGAGATGCATGTTGCACAATGTTATTTTTGAATCAGATGTGATTGTTTTCAACAACTCATTTGTATTTCTTCATTTACTGTATTTCTGTATTCTCAAGCAATCTTTCTCTGCAGAAACCTCTACATACAGAGCATAGCCCATAAAAGATGAAAGTGCTTTAGATTATGCTCAGCAGTGTGTAGTTGGGTGGTCAAACAATATAGCATTATGAATGAAGTGTGTTATATTTGGTGCAAAAGTTTGCATTTGGTAAGTGTTTATGTAGTTTTCAGTACAGTTCTTCATTTAGCAGGAGAAATTAGGTGTTTTGCACTTTGGGTGTGTGGTTTTGTGAATTGTGTTTAGTGTTCTGAGAAACTAAAAGAAAAACGTGTGTTAGCAATCGAGAAAAACTGTAAGTGTTGATTATATTTCACTACATTAATCCAAATCTAATGTAGTGGAATAAAAGCACACAATTTACCTCGTACAGGTATCTCAAAATTGTACTTACTTCTTACTTACAGTACTTAAGTAAATGTACTTGATTACTTACAATTTTTCTCGATTGCTAACACACATTTTTTTAATTGCTCAGTTTCTCAGGACACTAAACACAATTCACAAAACCCCACACCCAAAGTGCAAAACACCTAATTTTTCCTGCTAAATGAAGAACACACAGTGTGTGTGTGTGTGTGTGTGTGTGTGTGTGTGTGTGTGTGTGTGTGTGTGTGTGTGTGTGTGAGAGAGAGAGAATGTGTGTGGGTGGTTGGTTGGAGTCACTGCATTTCATTGCTTTATTTATTTAACACAGACCCTCATGGGTAGTCCAACGCATCAGCTTCGGGATGTCAGGGTTTCCCTGCGTCACATGAACATGCATTTTTTCTCAGCAGGACGTAAGAAAAACTTTCCATTTCGCTAATGCACACACTCATCTATTGAATCACAGATACCATTTGGAATAAACGCAAACAGACATATCCGCTTGCCAAACTGCAGTTAAACCTTTTTGAGTCTTTTCCAATCTTTTTTGACTCAAGCTTATGAGCTCATGTTTAATTCTGGCTGGGATTTCTGTGATGTTGCTATGGTTAACAGGCACACAATATGTGTGGAATCTGAGCAATAGAAACTAGTTCATCACACACAGGAATTCTCTGGGAAGTGAAGAAATTCGGACACATATTAATGCTTTTATTTTGTCGGAAGTGGAATGTTTAATTTCCTTATACTCTGTCTAGACAGCTGGCCCTTTGCCTCAGGAGGAGAAAGGATAACATAAGTTAATGTATTTCCCAGTGCTGTCTTCCTTTTCCATCCAACACACACACACACACACACACACACACACACACACACACACACACACACACACACACACACACACACACACACACACACACACACACACACAAACTCACAGATCTAAAGGAAACTGGTTTCAGGAAGGTGGGAAAGTGTTGCTCAAATAGTAAAGCTGATAACACAACCTGAACGCACGATATTATGACCACCCCCACCCCATCAAACGTACACGCACGATATTATGACCACCCCCACCCCATCAAACGTACACTTAAATGAAAACATGCATACACATTTATTTTATTTCCCTCTCTTTCTTCCACCCCCTCACTTTCTCTCAAAAATAATCAAACACACACTCACAGCACACACTCACACAACCTTGCGTGCATAGGTCATGAGTCCTCATTGCAGGCTTTGTGTGCCCCAACCCGTCTGTGCTATGTGAATGACTCAACACATCAAAAGGCGAGGGTACAGGCACATACATGACCTTCACGTGAATGTGAAAATTAATAGGCCCTGGAAAATGTCTATATGGAGCCCGCTTCCTCTCCTGTTGAACAGCAAACACTGAGACAGACAGGCGGAGATGAACAGATGAAACTTGAAGAAGGCCATTCATCATCAAATGTGCAGGCGCCGGGCGCGGTGCTTCCATGCCAGAGAAGGACTTACACCGTAGCAAATTATCCTAAGCACTTAATGAGAATGTTCTCGTGGGGGACATTTTCTTCTCGGATGATGATTTAATTGGGGAATTTAATGAACTAGTGGGTGTTGCTTCGGATCAGGTCTTCAGGCTATGACTGTGTGTGGCTCCCTTCCTCTCTGGAAGTGGTTGCGGTGTGTCCTTTTGTAACATCGAGTTAAAGTTTAAAACATGTTGAGATTATCATTACGGTGATTGACATGTTTTTGGATCTAAGATTTATTAAACACCATTATCAGTCATTATTAGATTCCTGACTGAACATATGAAAAGCTGCAGTAAACCAAAAAACATTGTTCTGTTGTATTTCATAATAATTTTAGGGTTAATAAAACATTTTGCGTCAAGACCATATTATTGTGAAAGGACAGCCAAAATTAACAGATAAACTATGTAACACATTAGGCTTATAGAGTGATCTTAATACAAGAATGCATTCACCATTATTTAAACAATAAATAAGTAATTGATTTGAACATTGCTGTATATTTTATCACTAAAAAAACTAGTTTGGTTTTTGGTGAATGCTGCAGCAATGAGCATGTCTTTCCTGCTCGTCCCTACCTGTCTCTATGTATGTATCTGTGCGCTCATCTGGGCCTCCTGCCTCTTTCCCCTTACTTCTTCACCCTCTTCTATCCCAGGTGTAAAATCCTCATCTCTCTCATCATCTGAGAGCTTCAAATCTGAATCTCCCTTAACTATCTGGTACAGGAAATGTCTGCTTCAGTTCTGTCTCCTGCAACAATGTTGAGTCATTAAGTCCATGAAGATGAACCTGATGTCCACTAGTATGGACATTTTTAAAAGAGCTGTTATTTCAAAACTCAAATTATGTTTTTGCTTTCAGAACTAATTATAAAGTTCCTCACATGTTAATGGTTTTCAATGTAAAAATAAAAATGTATCAACAATATTTGACATACCCCTCCTCCTACTATGAAATGTTTTTGTTGGTACGAAAGCCATTTTGGATGAAAAGAAACAGGAACTTCCCAGCTTGCCATTTTAACTAATGACATATCACTGGAAAGCCCAGGATGTCCTCTGTACAGTGCATCAGAGATTAATAGAGTAGCTAAAAAAAGTGTACTATGCAATATTATTTTTTATATGTCTTTTTAAATGTCTTATATGTCTTTATATGTCTTATTTTGTATATGTCTTACAGAGTAATACTCTGTAAGCCTCAGAATAGAAGAAACCAAGATATTTCGTATCAAATATATATTATCTTAAATTGTAGGTTAGGTTTTTTTATAATAGTATGGTGTACAAATTCTGTTTTTAGTTTAATAAATGAATTTGTGTTTAATGAATCAGGTGTCCACTAACTGCGTTTAAAAAAAATAAAGAAGAATGAAAGTAACCTAATTGAAAACAATATAGAAAATTCACGCAGTACGTCTAACTATAATCTTCAATCGCTGTTAGTTTTGGTTGCACTAGTCCACGGTTTAGTGCATTTTATACACATTTTTTTTCATGTCCAGGTTTTCACTTGTGTATTTTAGAGATAACATCACTGAGGGTCTGGATGTGTTAGTCAGACAGAAAGACAAACACTGGACTATCAGCCTTTATTATGGTCAAAAGCAAAGCCTACATTTCACGTGTTTAAAAGATCTGACTAAACCAAACACTATCTATCCATAAAGATCAATCCTGCTGCCCATTTTGTCAAATATAATCCAACACATGGCGTGCCAGAAATGCAACATTTCACTTTTTTATTATCAGCTGTGTTTTTTCAGGTATGGTGTCACGTATGAAGGAAGGATATCAGATATTTTGAGAGAAAACATTACACACAAGATACAATTTGTCTTTTATTATTGTCCTTTTTTTACAATACACATAAACATTACGTATGCTTTGCTGCAGTTTTAACAGTTAAAGATCACAGGAGTAATTGTCTACACACCTTGTACTATCAAATTGACAATTTAGCATCTTGCACATTTTGTAAACATTGTCCAAAGAACATAAACATTTTAAATGAAAAAAATATATCAGACAAATTAAAAGGGCTACAGCTTGTGTATGCTTTCTAAAATGATTCTACAAATAAAAATAAAAGTGAAACATAGCTCACAGAGTTTTGAACAGATAAAATGCTTGTTTTGTTGCTTTGAGTCTAAAAACTTTCAACATTTGGGGAATGTGCTTCTTTTTTTTGCGAATGTACATAGATAGCATGATCAGTACCACTTTTATATCTGTGTTTTACATTTAAGGCCAGAACTAACATATGGTTAGCTTAGTTTAGCCTTTAGGCTAAAAACAAGGGGAGAGAACTAGCCTTCCTAGGCCTTCCCTCTTTGTTCTTCTTCTTTTCTTTTTACTTCAGCCATGTTTGTAAGTATGTGCTCTAAAACGCACGCCAGCCTTTAGGTTCAGAACCAGTTTCAATAGCTTAACAAAAGCCAGCCCTTGTTGTCATGACTTTGGCCCTCTATATATAAAACGGACAAATAGAGTGGTTTCCCCAAGTATAATGAACTTGCAGAAATGGACACAAACTCTCTGCTCAAAAAAATAACACATGTTTCAGGGGTCATGAATCGCTGCTGACAGAATCTAAAACACGTTTGTATTGTTTTCTCAGTTTCCTCCAAACCAGCAGGGCTGAAACATGAGCATATCGTTTTAGAAAGTGCTAGGTGTAAAATTCCACTGCTCTGTGTGCAGCCTTTGGGCCCCTGCAGGTATAGGTGTAGTGTGTCAGATTAGGCCTCCACTGCTGCAGGTGTAGGTGTAGTGTGTTAAATTCCACTGAGGGCCGCGGAGAGCCACATTTTCCACCCCCACCCACCCTCACATAAGCTCCACTTATTCAGCATTCAGAGAGTCCTGCACCGGATGGGTTGATTGGAAGTGGCCCGTGAAAAAAACTATAGCTGAAACAACATGATCAGGAAAATAAACACACCTAGAGATATAGAGAAAGGGTGAGGGAGAGAAGAAGTGTGGCCGTTTCTATGGCTTCAAGTTTGTTTTTTCCAAAATGGTGGCTTTAATATGAGACACTCCCTGCAGGTGGGTAAGCATCATTGAGATGTTTGAGGTATCCAGAGGGGGTGCATTTCGCGTGCTTAGGAGTTGCCATTAAACAAAACCAATGGTTACCGGCTCCTCTTCTATGTTTTCAAAAAGGATTACATGTTAAGACGAGCTGCAGGGTGAACAAAAAAAAAACCTTGCATGTTTGGTAGTCAATATGGAAAGAGTTCAGCTGAAAAACAGTTACAGCTGAAAAACAGTTACAGGTGAGGCTTCGCACAGTGCATTCACACAGCTCCAAGCATAATTTAGACACAGCTCACTGCATAAAAAGTAAAAGGAATGATGGAAAATATTATTTGCTCTCGGAAGCAAGAGCAAAAGGTGTCCACATGGAATGGGCTTGTTGCAACTGGAGTACAGCATTCACATGAAGTAAATGAAAATATATAACCGAGATTTGCTTCCCAAATGAAAAACTAAGATATAGCATAGTTTCTCAGTGTCAAGTGTTTTTTATAACCAGCAGGTAGAAACGGAGATCAGCTGTCTGTGATCAACAAACTCCAACAGAAGAATAAAGCTAGAAAAAGATTCTCATTGTGTTGTATATGAATGCAATCATAGGGCTTGTATAAACTTTAAGGTTCTTTATGAAAAATGGAGGATTGGAAATATGCAAAAAGAGATCAACTTGATAGACTTTTCCAAAAAGAAAATGCTTTACTTTAAGACTGAATCTACAATAAAAAAAAGTCTGCTGTATCTGAAGTCTTGGATCAGATTACTAGTTTTTATTCCCCAGGAAGTCAAAGGGTTCTGCCAGAGAAGCTCTTTTGTGAAACTTCTTTTTGGGGATTGCACTGAGGGAGAAGGGAAGGGTGGTGCACGAGGGATCCTCCTTCCTGGACACGATGCAGTCCTTGATGGCTTCCTTTATCACCTATAGGGGACACATACAGGGATTACATCTGAAATGCCAGACCCATACCAATGTTAGCTCAAATACATTTGGCTATACAGTACTATCCAGTGTTTCCCACAGAATTTGATTCTATTTGTGGGGGCACCGCACCCCCCGGCAAGAAAAGCCAAAGGCCCCTTAACCTATTCGGGTGGTCCATGCATCCACCCCCCCCTCAAATAAGATAATACATGCGATTTCATGGCTACTGTAGACAACGATCTTGTTGCTCTGTGTTGCGTTGTTAATGAGTGAAACACACCGGAGTTGAGGATCTGTGGGGTTTATTCTCCCAAAAATATAATTTACAATTTACAATCAGGCATTTAGCAGACGCCTTATTCCAAAGCGACTTACAATTACCAATTACAGGGACATTCTCCCTGGAGTAACCTAGGGCTAAGTGCCTTACTCAAGGGCACACTAGTAGTGGTGTTCCAGGCAGGATTTGAACTCGCAACCTTCCGATCATCAGCCCACCTCACTATCCATTAGACTACCAAAAAAAGAAAGATATTCTTAATAATAATTTTTTTTATTAGATCCATTTGTGGCGGACGATATTTAATTGTGGCGGCCCGCCACAAATAAATCAATGTATGGGAAACACTGCTATCTAATTCAGGTGTTTCTACAAAATATAGTTTTTTCTGAGAAGAGTTTTTTTGGTTCACATTATTATTCAATGATTTAAGATTAAGATACTCTGTTCTGGACCAAAGTAACTGACCAACATTACCATCTGACACTTGACACTGCTTCAAATATGTTCAGATCAGTATGCACATGTTTGCACAGTCGTGTGCTGTGGATCACATCCAAATATTGCTGCATAAATTACCAAACGTTGGTGGTACTGGGCACATTTTTCATTCAAGTATAAAATTGGGTTTTGTGCTCAAATCTGCTGAGTCAGTGTATCTTTATTGACAGTATACATCTGTCTTCAATAGGCTGTCTTTCCATTGTAATCCCAAAATACATTGCATCACATTTGAAACGTTACTCAGCATGGAAGTGAGTCAGATAAGGTGAGTGAAAGTCAGTCGGACCGCTTAGGGTAACACACCTACTGTGAACTAGAGAAAACGTGTACTATCCGGTCTTTAATGGGTCTTTGGGATTAGAAATGTTTAGTGTTGCTTAACAAACTGATATTTGTGCAGTGACAACGCAAGTACTGTATGTTCAAATTTCCAACTGAATGAAGGTGGATTAACCAAGAATTACAGTGGGAATTCATGAGAATTACTCAGCAGATGGATCAAAGCTTTGAATCCATTTTTAACCCTCCGATGACATTGAGTCTTACAAACTGCAGGCACCACTATTGTTTCCGGTTGTTTGTGGTTGGAAACTTTAAGTATGCCAAATATACATCCCTCCATCTAAACATCCTGTAGTGTAACCATAACTACAAAACTGACCTCCAGGTTGTTTAGAGTGTTGAACTCCATGAGGTCGTGGAGTCGGGTGAAGGCCTCGTTGGAGTACTGGAAGTTAAAAGTGGAGAATGGTGACTCTGGGTCGTCAAAGATGTCAAAGTCAGCCAAGTCCTTCTCCTTTTCAGTCTCTCTGGGTACACCTGTAAGAAATTAAAGAGTTAGAAAGTAAGACAATAAATCCATATAAATCTGGAATTCATTTTGATTTTATTGATTGATGAGGCTAAGAAAAACTATTTTTGCTTATTTTGTCAGCTATATAATATATTTATAATATTCTCACATTTTGAGTGAGTAACATGCTTCACATTTTTTTGTTGATGAAGACAGTATCTACAGAACAATATTTATTTTATTTGTATAAAAAAATAAAAAAATAAATAAAAAGGTCCTTCTTTCATCAGTATGAAAAAACATTTGTAAGATATCTGTAGTGATATATCTTTATTTATGAACACCTATGTTTAAAATAGCTTGCTATATTAAAAAGGTCCCATGACATGCTTTTCCGGTTATTACCCGTCCCCTTGTGTGTTATGTAGCTTTTTCTGCATGTAAACGGTCTGCAAAGTCACAAACCCTCAAAGTACACCCTGGCTGTAGCGAGTAAAACTCTAACACAGAAAAGACCTGTCTATGCTGCCCCAGAACGCCTCGTTGGAGATTTTTCTTTTTCCATTTTTTTCTTCAGGGCATACTGACGTAACACACACACACTGGCCGTTTCTCAATCTTGAGAATTCTGGCTTCCAAGCCAGTATTTCAAGGATGCTACGTCATCGAGTGCCGCCGAAGGACTGTTCCAATCTGCAGCATACTTGGAATTCCACCGAGGCCACGTCCTTGGTTCGAGGCTACACATGTGTAGACTTCGCGTCCTTAAAATCCCCACAATGCTTTGAGCACGGACCAATTTCAAAAACCCTTGCGGAGAATTGCTGAACCGACGCAGCACACATTTAAATGTAAGTATGTAGTGGCGTAGAACATGTGTTGGTAAATATGTTACTTTGTTACATTTGTTATCGCCAAAAATGTGTTCCGTGAAAGTAAAGCAAGTCATGAGGTATTTATTTTCGGTACAGTTTATGTTGAAAACGTTAGAGAGAGTGGCACGCTTGTTAGCCCGTTCCATTCTTCTTCGTTTTCCGAAGCCGTTTCTCAATCTCGAGGATGCTGGATTGGTAGTCGCGTACTTCCAAGTTTCCTTCAGAAACGAAGCAAGTATACTTCCAAGCCACGGCTTCGGAAAACGAAGAAGAATGGAACAGGCTGACAAGTGTGAGAAACGGCCCGTGGCTTGGAAGTATACTTGCTTCGTTTCTGAAGGAAGTGACTTGGAAGTACGCGACTACCAAGCCAGTATCCTCGAGATTGAGAAACGGCCACACACTCGGAGCTCAGGCTGTGAGTGTGTGTGTGCTCAGGCTGAGCTCTGTGGTGTCTCGCTGTCTTGCAGACCCCATGCAGCAACCAGGAAACGACACCAGTAATCCAGCTCACACTGTCCGCTACTCGAGCCTCAAAGGGCGGAGCAGCGAGCCCCGCAACGTTTCACCAGCAGTCTTGCTGGTAAAATTGAAACGGCGAGACGGAAGTGGTTGAAACAAAGCAGTATACAACATGGTTTTGACTGGCGCTAACTGTCGGGGAGTGTAGATCAGCCAGGATGGCTGGTTTAGCTGGTTTAGCTTGGACCAGCTAAACCAGCCTTCCTGGCCAGCTAAAGTGTCCAAAACCCCTCTAAACCAGCCAACTATTCCAGCCTAATATCTACTGGCTGGTCAGGCTGGTCAACTAAGCTGGTCTAAGCAGTTTTTTTCAGCAGGGACAAACTATACAGAGATGCTGTATGAGAAAACCAATGGGATTTTGGAGCATTGAGCAATGTAAATCTATTCTAGTAGACCTCAACAATGGAATTATGATCAGTAGAAATGGCCATGTCATGGGACCTTTAACACCTGATAGATCAATCACTTTTAGGAAATATGTAGAATTGATTCAGATTTTGCTTTTATTATTACAGGAGTAAAGATGAAAGACCACGATGCAGGAGTCATGGTTTGGAAAATTCATACATCGGAGAAATGACTTCATAACGGCCTGTATAACTTCTACAGACAGGAAGTCCATTTATGGTACAACTCCCTCACATTTCTCTGGGGCTTGAGTGCAAAAAGCTTATGTAACTTCCATAAACAGACTGCGGAAGCATGTGGGCCGATGATGACCTACTGAATATAAAGAGGCAGGAGACGAGACGATGGGATAGTGTGTTTCTGTATGGCCCATGATATATAGAATGTTTACAGAAGGAGCTCTCCCACTAGAACGAGAGATTCCCTACCAGCACCTGGCTCCTTAAGGGAACCATAATTCACTCTAGCAGCTCATAAAATACTGAACACACTGTGGTCCACATCTAAGGCTTGTGTGCGCGCGCGCCCCCACACACACACACACACACACACACACACACACACACACACACACACACACACACACACACACACACACACACACACACACACACACACACTAAATTGCAGGTAAGCTTAAAGACAGACACACCATTTCCACCACGAAACCACAAAGACCCTGACTAGAGTTTCTTTCATTGGGGAGTTAAGGGGTCCAACTGTTGGCTGATCATAACAAAATGCCTGCCTCGAAACGATTATGGTTGAATTCAAGTTCGAGGAAGGGATGCCTCATGTTCCATGACGCTTGAGCAGCATTATTAACATAATACAGACTGGGCATATTTTCCTCCCCACACATGATGAGAAAAACCTCCACATCTGCACTTACTCACCAGGTGCCTTAAATGTCCTGAAGTTGATGTTGACCAAGACAAAGTGGATGACAGTCGGGCAGTTCTTTTCTCCTTTTTTTGGTTTGAAGACGTAGCATTCCTTCAGGCCCTCGCGGTCAAAGACTTTGGGGTCGATCTTGGGGAATGGAAGCTTGTTCATCCGAGCCCACTTTTCTGCCAAAAGGATCTCCTGTGGCATACATTTAGAAAATAGAAACAATGTTCATGGTTTGTACAAATACTTTTAAGCAATTTGCGACTGTAACAAATAGACTCTGACCTTGAATGGGGGGCTGGAGTCGCTAGGTCGTGCAGAAAAGTCAAAGGAGATGATGAGGTTGACGCCGCGCTCCGGCCGCAGGATGAGAGGGTAGGGGAGGTTGTAGGTGAGGCCGCTATCCACTATATGGATCTTCTTGCTCTTCACATCCAGAGGCTCGTAAATACGATCAAACTCATCTGGGTCTGAGAAAATCACATTGAATAAAAAAATAGATGAATGGGACAAGAAAGGGAAATACCTTTGTAGTCTACTGCCAAAACATTTTCTGCATGCCTGACCCAGTGACTCAACTGCAGAACATGAAGTTCAAAGGAAGCAGGGCTAGGTTTCCTTTTAAAAAGAATAAGACCACACCTGTGCTTTAATACCAGTAGACAAGCTGCCTTACTTAAGTTTTTCAGAAAGAAAAAACTAATTACTAATCAATATTTCTATAACGGCAATGGGTAAACATTACTACCGTACATGTATTTTGAAAGAAGTTGCTTGTAGTGATGAACTCACAAAGAATTACCACCCAACTCTATACATGTAGTTCCCCTGAGAATTACCATCAGCGTCTTGGGCTTTTTAAAGCGACAAATAACAAGAGAGGATAAAAGAAAGAAGAACCAAACGCTGAGAAGTGATGTGTAGGTGGCAAGAATGTTAGAATGAACTTGAATGAGTTGAAAACACAACATAAATTGTAAAATGATCTTATATGCTCTACTAAAAAATACTTAAACTAGGAATTGTGAATGTAAACTCTTAGGAAAATGTTTTCTGATGTAACAAATCATTTGGAAATGTACAAGACAATCAGTTCATGCTGTTTTGAAGCAGCAGTGTAAGGACCAACATAGTATAACATCTATGAAATTATGATTTAGATTTTGTTGCAATTTGTTCAGTACTGAAAATGTATTCTTGTTAACCAGCCCTGTGTTCAGTTTCACATGCATTTAGTTACAAATTAACAAATGAGATACTATTCTGCATGTATTCATTTAAAATGTTTGCAGCTAGATACATTTGCTAAACATTGCCAGTTGGTATAATCAATAATCAAAACTCCTTAATGCAAAATTATCATTCTTATGTTTTATTTCTAGTCTAAAATATTCAATTTGTGACCATCCTTCTAACCTGTGACAGCATCCACCTCCTCCTCAGGTGGGGGGGCTTGGCTGGTGACCTCGTTGCCCAGAGAGAAGGGGGTGCTGGTGTTCAGGTTCAGGCCCAGCATGAAGTTATGCACCTGGAAACAGGACGAAAGGAGTTATAAAGGAAGACAGCTGGTTGTGAATTTGAATAAATGAAAAGTGAAACAACAATGTGGCTGGCGAACACGCTGTTTGTTGTATGAAGCGTTTTCATGGTTTCATGTTGACTTCACATATTCAGTTACCTTCCCAGCCCGGCCCTCTCTTGTGTTGAATAAGGACGATTCACTGAACAACGACGTGAACATTCGATGAGCCCAGCTAGCCTGAGCGGTGCGGTGGTACTCATCTTCTGCCTCTTGGTTCTCTGTGCCAGCTGAACGATGAAATATAATAAAATGTCAAATGTTGGGAAACAGTTTTTAACTGGGTCTCAAAAAATCTTAGTGAACTAAGTGGAGCATTAAGTTTGTGACGAGCCAGATATTTCCCTCAGGAATTAGTGAAAAATATGAGTGAAGGAATATTACACTTAAGTTCATCACCTTTTCAAATGAATAAGGATATTGATTTGTAACTAAAATATGTTTAAATAGTCCAATTAAAAAAGTAAGTATACAATGACTATACACAAAAGAAGCACAAGAGACATCAATACATCGAAAACAGATGCATTCACACTGCTGTATGTAAGTCATAAAATATTAGAATTGAATGAACTGAATTTGCCTGTCTAACTTTTAAAACTTTTGTAGATTGTTCCACATGCGTGCAGGCATAATCTTTAAGATCCAGTTTAGTATTCAAATTAGTGTTTCAGTCTTGGGACATGGTGCAGTGTGAATGTGTTTCATAGTTAAAACAACATGTAAAATGTACCAGAAAGGATTCGTTTTACATCTTTTGTATAACAAATGAACTCCATCATCAAGGGTAATTCATTATAATCTTAGTCTATATCTGTCTGTCACTAATCTTACTGCATCCGTTGTCTTTCTCTCTTACTGTTTTTTTCTTTTTATGATTTCACTCACAGCTTAAACCCTTACTCGCAAAGAAAATGTTATTAATACGATCATGAAAACACATGTTCATTGGTCAAGGTGTGTACATTATAACATACAATACAACGTCTACAAACCTAAGAATTACAAGTGAAATCTCAATAAGCGCTTTTTCATGTCCTGACAGAAACCACAGTCACTGTTCTCATATAGCTGAGTCACACTGACAGATGCAAATGGAAACAATACCACAGAAATACAGACAAATGTTTTAAGGCGTTAACTTTCCCCGCAACCCAACAATGTGTCAAAATGTTTGCTGACACTATTTAAAGTCACACACCTCTAATGTGCCTTTACGCATGTAATCAAACTGCTGTGTGTTCGTCAGCTCCGGGCATGAATTGTGCATTTCTTAGCTCACCTTTACGTGGCTCGTCGTCATTGTCCAGACTGTCTTCTCCGACAATGTGCTGGGGTTTGATCTGCTCTGTAAGACACAAGACAGCTTCACTTATCAGGTTACAACTTCAGACACGCTTTTTATTCTTAGTCATACCAAATATCGACACTGTATCAGTAAGAATGGTTTTGTTCAGCTATGTGACATTATCAAATTCACTGTCTATTGTTTTTATCTGCCAAAAGAAGTCCTAAGAGAAATGCAATACACCTGATAAAGAATGCCTGACTGGGTGGAGATGTCTTGGCACTTTAGTACAACAAATGCAGAGAGTGTCTGACATTTAAAAGGTCACCCCAAACAAACACTTTCAACCAAAACAAAGTGAGTTGTCAGGATATGGGAAGGAAAGCTGATACACTGTTTTCGCAACATCGTGCAAGCACACACACAAACAGTAATGCCACACATTTTAAATCAGGTGGGATAATTTTAGATCAGCTATCTTTAAATGTTTGAGGATAAAGGTGTCAAAGTGCGTGGGAATAATTCTGGCATTAGGCGAGAAAATACAGATAACAATGAGGCAGGACCGAGTGTCAGTTTCAGTGCACCACAGAAGGAATCTTATCAAAAGATCAATACAGACGAAAGAAAGTGGCATTATCTGTAAACGAACACTTATTTTCCACTTACATAAAACACCCATGACTAAACACATATTTAAGATTCTTGTGTTTTAGGATCCTCGTTTTTCAAATGTATTGTCACACATACTGCAAGGATGATATGCATTTTATTAGGATTTTTGACAAAATAAATTTTCCTTTTATGCAATAGTTTGTTATTAAAATATTACATTTAAGTGACTTAACATAAAAAACGTAATCATTGTAAGTTTTCTATTATTTTCGTTTTTTTAATTATTGTAACAACTGACTGAAAGTAATTTTGGACCTGGGTAAAGTGGACAAAACAATGTTTTCAAAGGGTCTAATGAGTGGCTGTTTTTGAGCATCTGATCTGGTGATCTCACTCCAAATGATTGCATTATTTGGGGATTATATGTATTCCTGAATAAGAAACAAAAAGATTACCTAATTCCTCCTCCATGGTGCTTCCTCCAACTGTGTCTTTGACTCCAAGCACTCTGTTGAACAGGATGGAGAAGGCGCTGCCCCACACACCTGAATCAGAAAATACATACCGTGAATAGTACGTTAAATAATGGAAACTAGTCTGACTGCTTTGGATGAAAACACCTTTCTCACCCATTAGAAAATGAATAGGGTTCTCCTCGTATCTCTTTATGGCGGTTCCCATGAAGAACTTGCTTCCAAACAAGTCAGGGGTCATGAAGGTGCCGTACTTTGCCATCCCAATTTCATACGGGCTGAACTCCACCCAGTCTGCAGGTGGAAACGTCAGAGTTAATGTAACAGAAATATGAAACATTTTGTGATGCAATATGATGACCATAATCATCTGGAAAATCTTCAGGCCTGTTTTGAAGGAGATGCCACTTTCAATTCAATCTGTCATGTACCAAATAGCTGACAACTGGATTTAAAAAACAATGAAAGTATTTGTATTTGAAATAGGGAATAGGGCTGGTTTTATACGTCAATAAAAGAGTGTCTTTAGTTGGTACACATGATGCACAAAATGATTCATATCACAGGGGTCACACTTGGGTTATTCAAGTCCCGGCTGTTATTCTAGATTAGCATTGAGTGTGGCCTCACCCTCATGCATATCAAAGTGACACTGCACAGCATTTTCACTTCATCAATCGGAAATAGCAGGGCCAGTTTTCTTTTGTCGTCAGTATTTTGGGACATGTTTAAAGTCAGGTACACCCGAAGTGATGTATTGTCATTAATTATCTTTAGAGTGTATTATTGTCTTCTCTGGATTTTCTTTTGTTGGTATCTGACATAACGGCCATATACTATGGTACTTCTTCAAACGTGAGATTAATAACTTTGATATTGTAACAGCAACCCTTACACATTAAAACAACTATTTAGATGGGATGGGAGAATGGACATTACCTCAAGCGAGAAACAAGTCAATTGTCTAATGTCATTGTGTTCATATTCGAATCGCAGCTACCACGTTTTCCAAGTATTCATTCATTCGTTCTGTAAACACCAGAAAGTGTCACACTTTTGAATTCTTGGTGTGTTTTTTCAAAACTACCTTGTTGTCAAATGTATGTTATGTTTTAAATGTAAAGCAGTGGAAGGTAATACTGTGCCCAAGCAAAGGTTATCTATATATTTATCGAGTCTCACTGTAATACTAGTATTTGTATTTGGAGCCAGTAGAAAGTGTGTGTTCAATGATCTTTGAAGATCACTTAAAATGTCAGCTTCTGCTTTGGTATTTATTTTTCACACGCTTGTTGTATTGGAGCACAGTGCAGCCTGGGTTAATAGCCCTTACAAAGAGGAAGTTTTAGCATTAACATAAGACCAACCCCGAGTCTATTATGGCCTTTTGCACTCTACCCAGTTCCTCGATATAGCACAGTTGCTATCTGGCACTAAAGGGCCGTCATTGAAGCCCGCCATCACACATCCTCTTTGCAGAGCAGTATTATAAGGAAATAAGTACCGCATGGTTGCTTTGCATGTGTGGCCATCTGATTATCTCTCAAGTTACTCATTACATATGCAAAATAATTCTGAGGGACAGGGTTTACATATAACATACAATTTAACATAAAGGCACATGCAGACATTTACAAAAAGGTAGCTATGTATTTACCTGCAAACATGAGCTCAGAAACATCTGGCTTGACATGCAGACATGTGAAGAGAGGAAGAGGACACTGGGCCTGGTCTATTTTCTCCTGGATGCTACTCAGTTTGATGTCCATCCTCTAATGGAAGAGATGGCAGTTTTTGAGTCATTTACACATACAATGTGGCAGTTGGTAAAAGTTGTCATGGTTATATGGAAGTAGAAAAAGTAATATAAATGGGGAATAAACAGCACAAAATGAAAATAAAAAACTTGTGTTAGGCCTGTATGGGACGTCAGCACGAAATAATATAGAGGAAAAGAAACATGAACTGAGAGGAAGAGAAGGATTTACGTACTGCCAAGCAATACAGACACAAATTCCATCAACAAACAACAGCTGTCATGCGTCTCTTACCGCAGGTATGAGCGTCTCTCCTATGAGCATACCGAAGATATCAGTGAAGGTAACGGGCTGCCCGAAGGCCTTTTTAGCCCACAAGGCCTGGATGTAGTTGGTGATGTGTTGGGGCAGCAACAGCTTCAGCGGGTTACTGCTGACTCTATTCATCAGCTCTGGGTTTATATCCTTCGGGCCCTTATTTGGAAACTCTGGGTGGGAGTAGATAGTGGACATGTACCTACAGTGATCAAGAGAAATAAAAAAGATCAGCAAATGTATGCTAAAATAAATATGCCTGTGCTTGTATTAAAAATGTTTTACTGGAGGTATTGCATTGATAAGGAAGTTAAATCCAGTAAGTCACTTCACACATACAGTATGAGGATGGACACTAAAGCAAACCAAAGTTGCTTGCTTGATGACAGCTTCGTACCAGCGGAGGAAGGAAAGAGAGTTCTAGGGAAGGGAGGAAGCAACATCAAAAGAGAGAAAGAAAAGAAAGAAAAGTAGCAATATGAAAGAATAAGATGACAGGAGAGAAAGTGCCACTAGAAAAAAAGGCTTCACGTTGTGAGAATGTGTAAAAAAGAGAAATGAAAACTAAATAAAAGGAGATGACGAGAAAAGAAAACTGACCATGTGGATCCGGAAAGGCCGGCAACATATGTGGCACAATCCAGGACCCCAGACTCAAACAGGGCTTTCATCACACCTGAGAAGCCAACCATGGCACGGAAACCGCCTCCTGAGCCCGCTATGGCTATAACTGGAACCTGCCACACACACACACACACACACACACACACACACACACACACACACACACACACACACACACACACACACACACACACACACACACACACACACACACACACAGTGAATAATAAGAAGACAAAGGCATGCCTAATCACATAATTGCATAGTTAACTGTTTATAGTATGAGTCTTGTATTAATCTGCATTCTTTCAGGTTGACTAACTTCCCTCCTGTGGCTCTATACAGTGAGGCTGCAAGTTGCGTCACGCCTTTGCAACATTTGCTCTTCAGATTTTCAACAATTTCATAATTTTTATTTTGCAATGTTGCTTCCTTTTCTGCACTCTGTTTTTATCTCGCGGTCAGTTTTTACTATTCTGACAGACATACGAGGTTCGCCCTGGATAGGAAGTGGAGTGATGGTGTAGCATAGTGAAAGGCAGAAGCTGGTTATCTCATTCCTCTGGATCTTCCGGCACATTCCGAGGACATGTGCAGGCCTGGCTGGAGATTACAGCCAGCCCCAAGGGCGTCAAGCCAAATCCACATCAGCACGAAAATGAAATTTAGCCTAAATCAGTGCAGGGGAACACAACTTAGGGGTTTGTAAGGTATACTTTTTGGTTTGACACACACTTTGTGAAAAGTGCATAACAAATAACAAGTGTATTTGAATTTAGTAAGTCTCATTATATTAGAACAAAGGCCTCAAAGGTTTGCATGTTTTCCATTTTGTCTTCTTCAATAGGCTTAATCCTATAGATCATGAAGTGAATATGTACAAGAACGAGGGATGCCAAAGTAAGCACACATAGCTATAACTCAGTCTGCTACTTCCTGTGGAATGGGACTGGCATAGATCAGGTATTTGACATCTAGGGTCTGATCCTTCCTCACATGAAAACATGTTGATAGAAACTTTCCTTGCTGTTGTGAATGTAGATTCAGAGTGGAGGTGAGGCTTTTCAAATGATTTACTCACAGAGGCAGGAGCACAGTCACAGCATAGATTTCAAATAAGTGTTGTGACAGCAAGCTAGCAGTGACAACTTATTATGTGAAGCAGCTAATGAGCATACGATTTACCTTCACTATGCTAATGCAAACTGCGGTCTCTGAACTGGAGGTTCCTGGTCCTTTGCCAGAGTTGTGTCGAGGACTGTTAACCTGTCAATATGTGTCGGCTTTTGCAAATTAGACAGTGATTGGCCTATTTAAATGTGCGTGTACCTAAACTAGTTTGCCCCAGGGTCCGTTTGTATCAGTAACTCAGGTTAAATAAAGCAAAATGTTTGCTTAAACTTATCAAAGTGATTTAATCATAAGAAATGAAGTAAAAGTGCAAACGGATCTTGAATTTGGCCTCTTAATAAATTAAGCTGTCAACTCACAGGTTTATGAAAAGACTAAACAAATGTTTTCAAACAGTAGCCATGTAATAAACTTGAGGTTTTGTGGCTCAGCTCCCACCTCCTCTGGAGAGCTAGGGAGGAATCGAGGCTTCTCCATGTCCAGCAGCTTCTTGATGCCCAGCATCACCCTCTCTCTGCGGGTCTGTCTGAACTGCTTCTCCTTGTCACACAGGGAATGGCTGAACCGCAGATCCAGTTTAGTACTGCAGCAACAAAGGAAAAACAAGGTTCAATCAAATCTGATAATGGGAAGACAAACAATAACTCATATTTACATATTCTGCTGACAGTAGGATATGATCTCTCAGTGTACGTAACATTACTAATGATGTTGACATCGATCTTTAGGCCAGATAAGCTCTTTCTCTGGGTGTGAAACACTGTCACGGACAAAATTCCTCAGTATCTCTCACTGCTCCCCTCCTCATAATTATAAACACTTTCAAACATGTTTGGTATTTCCAAATCCTCCCACAAACCCATATGCAGTGATGCAACAGGAATTATGATGCATTTTAAATGCTATATCATTTTAGACAAGTTTCCTCTTATTGAGTCATTCTGCTTGAAGTTCTAATTTTAGTTTCTGCATTGCTCCGGGTGATTTATTTGGTATTCTTCATCCAGTGATGGATTTTAACACACACACTCATAAAACTAGTATTACTATTTAACACAAGGACCTCTAGGTTGATCACAGAGCAAACTCTGATAAACAAGTTTTGCTATAAAATAAAATACATAATTTTAGGCAATACCTACCAGATCTCCAGCAACATCTCTAAGTATACTTTGGTTGCCTGTCAAAACAATAAAATATGTGGTTATTGTTCAGTGAAAGAGCAGCTGGTAGTAGTTTTCAATTCCATCTTCATATATGTAATACCTTCAGAAAATATGTGATCTCAGCATGAGCTGAACTGATGAACTTAAAAAGTCTGTTGGGAATAAATATATCTTACTTTGCCAATGAGGAACGACTCCATCTTTTTCTGGCCTACTTTGAGCTTGGTGATGTCATAGGTCGCGGTCCCAAGTGTCTCATCCATCACATAATTGGCATCCATTAATGTTAACTGATTGGGATAAACATCATCAGACAAATGGATAAATACATTTCCATACTGCATATACTGGCTTTGTTTAAGTGCAGTTTAGTCTTTTTATAAAAAGGTATATATACTATATATCAATCCACATCCCAAAATGTCATCCTGTACTGGTACAGACTGCCTAGAAAAATAAATAACTGCTTTACCTCCAGGACGTTGTTCTGGTTTGGGTCTAATATGAACTGAAAGGTCTCGTTCCATTTTGGGTTGATGTTGTTGTCTATATGCTTGGTCTTTTTTCTGCTCTCCGGGGCTGTTGGGATGAACAGCTCCACATATGGATCTGGGGTGTCCACTGCAACACACACGTATTATACATATAATTAGTTAATCTCAAATTATTTCAGGGAACCTTTTTATCCACTTCAAAACAATTCCAGTGTAAATAACACAAACATATACCAGAAGACAATATATGCATGCAACATGTTCTTGATCATTTGCTGCAAAACTATTTTGTAATGTGTGAATGAGAAGTATAAGTGAAAAAAATGCATTAAGACTCACACAGGTCACCCAGTGCTCCCTTTGTGACGCTCTCTGCTCGAACCACCGTCACTGTGAATTTGTGAGAAAACTGCTGCTCCACCTGCCACACAACATTCATTCATTTCAGCTCATTATCTTGTTGTAAAGTCACTCCAACCATGATGCAAAACAATATGTACCTAACACATTCATCATGTGTCAGTCAGTGACACATTTTGTTGGCTGTTTCCCACGTGAAATTCTCTGGTTCAGGGTTCACTTTGTATCACATTTCATTTCTCCTTGTGATTTGACAGCAACATGTTGAATTTGTTTGGCAACACTGGTATTAAATGTAATTATAGCAACACTATTCTAAAAGGTGTGCTCTCTGTAACTGTACCCGGTAGGTAACAAGCCTTTACAATCACACTTTATTTGCCCAATTGCAAATCCCTTGTTTGCCATTGTCCTGTATGTATAGTAGAAAAGGTTACCCAACCCTCCTGTTATCCTCAAATTTACCTTACACCCTTTATCCTCTGGAGTCTGACCACAGTAGTTTAAAACTCAAGACAATGATCATATTCCAAATGTTAACCAAAATGTATGTCTCTGGTGCTTTAGGTATCTTAGTTGACTACCTAACCATTTAAATAAAACATTACCCCAACCTTCCCCCCCACAGACCCCTTTATATACATCCAGAATTCCTATTATCACCAAAATATTTAAATCACCATAAAATCTCACTGTTTGAAATAAAATGTTAAAGTAAGAAATGTTTGATGTTGTTAAAGGACCAATAACTAAAACAGAGGGTAGTTTTCTTTTACAATGACACATTTTCATGTAATGGTCACCTCAATATCATCCTACACAATCAACACAAATATATGTAAAATGTTGACGTTTTTATATGTTTTATACTACTAAAACAGCCTGGGGTCAAATTGATGCATACAAAGTGCGTACATGACATTTAAAAAAGATCATGTTCACTTTATGTTTACCCATTAGTCCTCACTAAATTAGGAAAAAGTCATGAAATACTAAGCAAAAAAAGTAATGTGAACCATTTTTTGATACGTTAAACATTGAATGGGGTCAAATTGACCCCAAGGATAACAGGAGGGTTAAAGTCTGTGCTATTCTTTCTTGTTGAAAAATATGAGACATATCAGTGAAAATCAAGGCGTCATTTGAAGGTCATACATCCCTAAACATTTCCTTGATCCTTAGATAGCCATCACTGAACCAACAAGTTGGATTAAGAAGAAGTTGTTTTGCCTTTCTTTTGCATTGTTTTTTTTTTTCAGCCTTCTGAAGCTAGACCTATGAGCCCTTTCTCAAGAAAACTTAACATCTGTTCATATTCAGTGTAGTTTTAAATGTGACTATTCAAGAAGCCTGTTGCACATCCAAGTTATGCTAATAGAAAATGTGGTTTCAATAACCATTAACAAGTCTTTGAAACAAAAAGTGATGTTAGATATAAAACTGTTATGGCTGTGAATGCAGCTCTCTCCCAGATTATCCCATGCTAATATTCGCTGCTAAACAGAACCCGTATACCCCTCTGCACCTGCTGCAGAGATAATGAAAAGGCCTTGCTGTTGAGTTTTTGCTTTAGAGAAAAAGATTGAAGCTCACTCTAAGCTCTCACGCTAAGAATCTGTTTTTGTCTCAACATGGCTCAGTTTAGCTTTGCATGCCAAAACTCACAATTATATTGGAAGCCATTGTGTGTTGTCAGGTAAGTAATCTTCAGGAAAGCCTTTGTCAAGATGGGAACTCAGAAGAACATCTCAGTCAAGAAACTGAAGCATTTGGAAACTGGAAAAAAAAGTTCAATATCAGTGCAAATTTAGGAGTAAAGCTTTAACAAACATTTACAAGCATTGTGTTCCCTCTTCTCACCATAACACAATAAAGCACTTTCTGTAACTTCTTAAAAGAAGGAAAACCCCTTCTTACAGCCAACGCTGAAGGCTGAAGCCTTTAGCATCTCGACAAGGGCGGAGGGAAGTGTGCTGTGCCACAAACACAAGATAAGATGACTGGAGCAATAGCTAACATTAAAGTTAAGTGTGAGAGCGTAAGTACAGCACATGTACGTTTAGAGAGAGAGGGAGAGAGAAATATGGAAGTAAAAGGAAATGTTAATGTGACTGATATGACTTATCAGTCACACTATCTAACAAAGATAGAGTGTAAATAACATGAATTACTTTTAATAATTAGAAGAGGTGGTGAGATGATATTTTTAGGAACATTAAAGCTTTCTTTGCACAAACGTATGATAAACAGTATGTAGATAATATTTGCATACAGGGTTAGTGTGTGTGTATGAGAGTGAGGGAATGTGTGTGTGCTGTGGTAGCATATCAAGGTCAGCCTTTTCTCCGCTGTTTAACAAAGCATGTCATAACTAGGCGACTGAGAGCACGTAGAGAGGCTGTGTGTTCACAGCATTGGTCACGTAGTGGGCATCTGTGGTCCAACTTTGGCTAGTGCCAGTTCACTCTGCCCTTTTTCTGCAGCGTACAATGAGTGCATGCAGGCTGCTGAGTCCTGTGTCTGTGCCAACATATCACACTGGATAATAGGACTAAATTTTCATATGGTGATGCAAAAACCCAAAGACACCGACAGCAACCAGCCGTGATGCAAAACAGCTGCAGTGCATTAGAGGTTTCTAAAGGCATACAGTAAATCTCCTTCTTTGCAAATGTTGTACTACATGAGAAATACATGTGAATGTTGGAGGATTAAAAAACAAAATCTAAAAACCCACAATGAGGGGAATCACTGTGCATTTACCAAGGAAATATTACAGAGGAAGTCATTACTGTATATTCATTATCATAATTGTATGCTTCATACAAGATCTATTAGGCCACCATAGACAGGTTTTCCCTGTTTCTTATTAGCCAGGTGGGTCAAATCTGAGAGGAGAAGTTGCTACATGCAAAGTTAGATAATAAGATTGCCTCAGATAATGTAAGACAAAAGAGATGATAGTTAAAAGTATCAATCTCAAAAACAGGAAACAAAAAAAAGGGAAATAAAATAAAGACTAATAAAACAATCTTGACTGTTGGCAACTACATGGAACTGTTCATCATAATCTGACGTATTTAGCGAGTAAAATAGGCTTTTGCCAATTGAATTAATGCAGTATAAATGCTCTGTATGTTTTGGCAGTAGGCTACTGAGTTTTTAGTTTCCTTGTCCTGAGTTGCGTAAAGTAAACTGCGAGACGATGGTTAAACCCCCTGCAGCAGTTGCTGGCACTGACACTCCTTGCTCCCCCAACAGTTATCAACCTTTACAATGTGAAATAATTTAAATTGGAAACGTACCTTAATCGTGGAGAAAAGCCTTCAAAATGCTGTCCGAGAGTATCCTTCCTCCACAGGGGAAAGAGGAGGTGCCTCACCAGATGAACAGTACGCACACCCGGCTGTCAAGAGGCTGGAGCAGACTGCACGTTCAGGACAGTTTTAATAAACACTAATTAAACGTAATCCACAAACAAAAAAACTCTCTGTTTCAAATTTTAGTTTCAGACGAAGACCTCATGAAAACTATTCATGGGAGTCAGCTTTTGACTCATCGACTGCTCACCAAATGCGCAGTGTCCACAAGAGGGCGCGTAAGAGATTTACGTTGATAAAACTTTTTTTTTAAAGTGTGAATCGGATGACGCTAAACTTTTAGCATTTTAGTTAAATATGTATTTTTGGGGTCTGTCTGGTGGTCATTTTTATTATCATGGCATGTTTAACAAATAACACAATCATTTAAAAAAAAAAATGCTTTTAAGAGCCGCTGTTAAAGATACATATAATATTATTTATATATATAATATANCCAGGGACTCAAATCCTGCAGTGCCAGACGTGTCCCCCTGCTTAAGCCAGTACATGTCCAGGCCCGTCTGAAGTTTGCTAGAGAGCATTTAGATGATCCAGAAGAGGATTGGGAGAATGTCATATGGTCAGATGAAACCAAAATAGAACTTTTTGGTAAAAACTCAACTAGACGTGTTTGGAGGAGAAAGAATGCTGAGTTGCATCCAAAGAACACCATACCTACTGTGAAACATGGGGGTGGAAACATCATGCTTTGGGGCTGTTTTTCTGCAAAGGGACCAGGACGACTGATCCGTGTAAAGGAAAGAATGAATGGGGCCATGTATCGTGAGATTTTGAGTGACAACCTCTTTCCATCAGCAAGGGCATTGAAGATGAAACGTGGCTGGGTCTTTCAGCATCACAATGATCCCAAACACACCGCCCGGGCAACAAAGGAGTGGCTTCGTAAGAAGCATTTCAAGGTCCTGGAGTGGCCTAGCCAGTCTCCAGATCTCAACCCCATAGAAAATCTTTGGAGGGAGTTGAAAGTCCGTGTTGCCCAGCGACAGCCCCAAAACATCGCTGCTCTAGAGGAGATCTGCATGGAGGAATGGGCCAAAATACCAGCAACAGTGTGTGAAAACCTTGTGAAGACTTACAGAAAACGTTTGACTTCTGTCATTGCCAACAAAGGGTATATAACAAAGTATTGAGATGAACTTTTGTTATTGACCAAATACTTATTTTCCACCATAATTTGCAAATAAAGTCTTTAAAAATCAGACAATGTGATTTTCTTTTCTCATTTTGTCTCTCATAGTTGAGGTATACCTAGGATGAAAATTACAGGCCTCTCATATCTTTTTAAGTGGGAGAACTTGCACAATTGGTGGCTGACTAAATACTTTTTTGCCCCACTGTGTGTATATATATATATATATTTATGTATTCATTCATAAGTGGCGACATATCTCAGGTAGCTGGAAGGATCTGTTGTTCTAAAAATAAACAAAAAAAGAGAGAGCAGCACTCTCAGGATCTTACTTTGACTACAGTTATTAATCCACCAGCTATTTTGCATTGCATCCTTAACCCTCCCTGCACAGGCAATCTGATGGAGGCTCTACAAGCAGTCCTGAAGAACCCGCCGATCAACACGAAGAACCAAAACGTCAAGGTGGGTCTGGTTCTCCTGGTTAATAAGAGTATTTACCACAGTCCTGTTTTTCTATAGAATCACTTTGAGGACTCTATGCTAATTAAATGAGAGGTTTGTTGGACATAAACAGTAGAACGATTTAGAGTTCATGAAACAGACTAATAACTAACTACTTGGTAACTCTCCTATTCACATGTATCTTCTTTTCTCTCAGGAACGTGCAGAGGGTTTGGTGCTGAAGGTGCTCAGCGCCTTTAAGAGCAGTGACATTGAAAAAGGGGTGCAGTCCCTCGACAAAAATGGCGTCGACCTGCTGATGAAATACATCTACAAAGGCTTCGAGAGGCCGTCAGAAAACAGCAGCGCGGTCCTGCTGCTGTGGCATGAAAAGGTCAATATTTGCACTTCATTATCTGGCAAAATCATACGGTGACACATTTTTGAGTTATGCATTCTATATACTTTCTGGATAGAGGGAGAAGTGAGCGTAGATTAACACGGAAGATTGACATTTTAAAGGAAATGTCCTCCAGCGGCGTTCAAAGTCCGTGATGTTGTTTTCTCTGTGTTAGTAAATGTACTCAATGAAAAGTGATATTAGCTTGGAAATTGTGACATATTATGGTAATCAACAATTGTAACTGAAATTAATGTATCTTAAACAGGATCATGTATGGCGTCATAGTAGGACAGTAAAAGACCAGTTTGGGACTAATTAAATGTGGTCACAACTCTGCATACAGTATGAGCTACCAGAGCTTAACAGAGACTTAGTTTCAGTATTAAAAACCTGATCATATTTTCTCTGTGTCTCCAGGCTCTGGCAGCTGGAGGAGTCGGCAGCATCGTGCGGGTACTAACAGCGAGGAAAACGGTCTAAAAGAAGAGGATCAGTTCCACATCAATAACACATATAGGATATTGTTGATGTCGTCTAACAGATGGCATAGGGACTAAAATGAAAAACTATTCTTTAACCCAATGTGATCCCGCTAGACAAACAAATCAAATCTGCATCACATTGTGTTAAAGAAACATGTTTTTATTTTGTATTCCCATTCATGATCACAGCCCAGTCAACACAGGGTGCTACAGAGAACCTTACATGTGTACTGCTTCCTAGATTTCCTTACTGTATTCCCCTTTGTCTTCATGTCATTCCTATGCAGTCTGTAGATACTCTGCTGTACACACAGCGATCCCCAACTGATGGGAGATAACTATGAATATTCCTGGATTTTATTCTAACCAGGATAATTCTACCGCTCTTATCTGTCTAATCTAAGTAAAAGAGGTTGGGAGCCACTGCTGTACAGTACTTTATCTACAGACTCATACAAACAGACACGATTGTGCTCACTCACAGGCATGACTCAGCAATATTTCCTCCATTCAAACCCACACAGGGTTTCAGCTTTGCTTCTCTAGGGAAAACTCTCAGTATTTGTTTTCCATCTTCTCTTCACTAGAGATTTTCTGAGGGCATAAAAGCCAGAGTCTCTGTTAGTAAATCCTCTCATTGCCTCTCCCTGTCACACTTTAGCTGTGGGAGGCTCTTGAAAAGCACAGTCACAGATGGAGGATGGTGGATTTGCACCCGGGGGTCGCCATTTCCCCCCCGTAGAGCGGGAGGGAAGGGTGGGGGTTGGTGTCATCCAACCATCCTTTCACGCTGCCTGCTGCCCCAGTTAAGGATTATTACCCACGATGCATCTCCACCACCACTCTTCTTAATCCTATTTTGCTATTTCTCACATCCCTCGTGTGTCTGACCCTCTCATGCACCCTCTGTCACTGAGCAGGGCATTATGGGGCTTTTTCTGTACTTTGAGAAAAAAATAACATGTCACCATTAGAGTCCTTTTTCATATTGTTTTATTTAGGTGTTTGACAGAAAAACAATATCTAATATAAAACATTTTCCGCTTGGTTTGTTATTGCTTTAAAGTTGGGTTTTGACTACAGCTTAAAAGGTTCAAATATATCAGGGTGTAGGAGAGACTTAAATAAAAATAATTAATGTTAAAAAGGTATTTTTTGCATGATCCCAATCTTGAGTTTTGAGTATTCTGTCAAGCATTTCATACCTATCTTTTCTAGATGGGAGGTTTTTGTATTGAATCTGGGTTTTAATCTATGCTTGTTCCTTCTAACAATTCCTCCACGCGTGGTATAGCAGTAGGGAGTTACTACCACGTATGCTTTTTTTTTTTTTAATGAGGAAAACTGGAAATGTTGAAGCTTGATCTGCCTTATCGGGTAGATAACGTCTGTTGCCAAATGATCTGTTTTGCTTTCATGGTAATACTGTAGCTTATAGTGAAGATTTTGTTGCCCTTATGTATTGGAGACATTTTTTTTTAAACACAGTGATGGAGTTCTACGAATAAACAGTATAAATTAACATGCAAGCAAAGTGTTTTATGGTTAGAAAGATTTGCCATTTTGAAAAAATGATGTAGTGATCAGGGGAATTTAGACCCAGCATAATGTTTTGTTTCTGCTCATTTTCAATAGCTTTTTCTAAAAGACGCATACATTTGTGTTTTCTCACGAGTTATCAACAGTTGATATTTAGACATGGGTTTTCATGTTTAAATACTGTCATCAGTGAAGCATCCAGACACTAGATTCCTCTTCCTCTTGCAGGAAAGTCTAGTTTGACATGAAAACAAAAAACAGCCTGATATTTTCATGTCATCTGAGATGCTCTTCCAGCTGAGGGAGCATACCACACTGATGTACAATCTGCCTTACTCTATATTACTTTTTTTTATGTTAATGCTTTTTTGACAAAAATAAAAAAAGGTATGAATGCAAATCATAACTTTGTCATGACTTTGTTTTACATCCACACTCATTTATCAATGCTAGAAACTAAATGTTGGAGGTGAAGGAGAGCACTTGCCTGGTTTTTAGTGTATAGTGATATTTGTTTACATTTCACAGATTTCCCATTATTTTATCCTCGTTTTTTTTATAAATGAATTAGTATTATCCAGAGCCCTAGAGAGAAATATCTATCTCTCTAGGGCTCTGGTATTATCTAAACACTGTTGTAAACAGGGGCGTCGCCTGGACCTGAAAACATTCGGGGCTTAGCCCACAGTGTCGCTACAGTGGAATTTTCTACTGCAACACTCCCCACACGCACAAACACAGTACACCCGCAACTGTTACAATGAAGGTTCGATAATCAGCTCACGGCATATAGGCAGGGGTAAAGTGCTACTTTTTATGAGTGGGGGGCGGACCTCACCTCCTAATCCTTGTCTCTGAGTGAAATTGTTTCTACTCCTAAATGTGCTCTTATATTCTTCAGTGTTATTCTCATTAGCTTGCTTGAGTCGATGTGAAATGCTTTATAAAGGATCAGGGGTTTTTTATGCATCACTGCTGGAGACATACATAATGCTTGTTTTCAATGTATATTCATTTATTACAGTTTTATTACAAAATGGATCCAATAAGTACAGTATTGCAATACATTATGAAAAAAAAAAAAAACTATGTACAAGTTGTAAAAATAAAATACATCTTGATATGAACTTTTGGATTGAGCAGTTTATGGCACATTGATGATGTAGTGTAATGATAAGATAGGGTTTCTATTTACTAGACTACCTGAGGATGTAGAAGATCTAACAGTTAAGCTTTCTATCACCGAAATGAGCACCGTATCTGAAGAGTCAAATTTTCACTTTGGTGATTAATGACACAAGGGAACTGCACATTTTTCTAAATCAAGCACTTCCCAATAAGTTAATAGTAGGTAGATGTAAATAAAAGGCTAGCTAATATTTGTTGAGTAGGGTTGGTATCTACTATGGGAGCCACCGATTAATACTTCCGCTTAAAGGAGCAACATCTTGTTGATCTTATAAATAAATCTGAGGGGGAAGGGAAAATCACAAGGCAACATATTAAACATTTCACTGAAAAAGTCCTGACAGACTGAGGTTTTGGATTCCTGGGATTAAAGCCAATACATAGCCAGTTGCATTGTACAAGTCAACTGTTACCCTCCTGTGTCTTGTGTTGTTTCCACCTTTAATCTACTTCCTCTTGTCTTCAGGGCTGTATGCACTCACTGGCCGCTCACATTGAGAGTTTTTCAGTTTGTTTACTGATGTGGCTGCTTTTTAAAAAACGCACCCACTCACTTATTTAGGATGCAATGCACCGCACCTTTGTCTGCCTTCATTTATAGTGCTCTCAGTAGGGGTATGCAGAGACGGCGATGTAGACGATGAAGGTTGTCTGGTACTCGATTCCCCCGTCTGCGCTGTAGGAGAGGGCGCGGACCTTCATTCGGTATGTGTGGGGCTCTCGAAGCGCCTGTGTTGTGAACAACACTCCCTTCAGGTTCTCGTCTCGCAGGGCGAAAGGTAACGTGGCGTCCTCGTCCACCACGAGGAAGGTGGTCCTGGGGTGCATTACTCCGTCCTGCGTGTAGGCCACCAGCCTGATGAGGTCCTGGTTGGCTGCGATGCCAAAGGGAAGAGACAGCAGCTTGTACTCCAGGGCGTAAGGGCTCAGGGCACACTCCAGGTCGTTAGGAGGGCAGTTCTTCAGGCAGAACCTGGACACAACATACACAGCAGAGTCGAGTTGAGTATATTGTGCCAAAAAAATAAATAAATAAATAATACATTTTGTCAGAAGATAGATAGATTACTCTATTTTTTAAGGGAAACTGCAAGTGACCATGTAGGGTTTATATTTATTCATGAAACTATTTATTATTGGATTTATTGATATTCTATATTATTTGGCACAATCACCATGTACAGACAGATCATAATCTTGACAAACCTGGCTGTAAACAGTTTTTAAAGAAATTATTTCAGGAGCAATCCGCCCCATTTGTCTCAAAATTCTGCAAATTACACCAAAACTATCTGTATGTTACAGTACCAAATTAAATACATGAAGAACTTTTGATTAACTGAGTTTTTAAAGTTCGCTTATAATTTGAAATCCCCAAGTTTCTTTAGCCTGTGTTGTTCACGTTTGATATCTTGCGGGTTAATCCTAACTGAGTGTGTTTCCGTGGAGGTTTACCCTGTGGCTGGATCCCTCTGGTAGTTTGGTGGACAAGGTGTGTCGATACATTGGAAACTTCCTCTCATGTTGAAGCACATCTGGTTGGCCCCACACTGGATGTTATCCTCCAGGCACTCGTCTATATCTGTAGATACAGCAAACAGCTTATCATGATTACAGTACAAGCTATAATAAAATGAAATGATGGAGATGGAAGCAGTAGTTTTTCTCACCCTGACACGTCTTGCCGTTGGTCATAAGGCGGTAACCAGCTGGACAGAGACACCTGTGGCTCCCTGGTGTGTTCATACACTCATGCTGACAGGCATCCCTCACCTCACACTCATTGATGTCTGTCGGTGTCACACAAACAACCACATAATGATAGAGACAAAATTAGATAAATGCCGAATTAAGGCACATTTTTAAAGCCCACAATTCAAAAATCACAGCAAATCCTCAAGCAGCAAAGCAGAGCGTTTCTCTACAAAAAACTTTCCTCCTCTCCCTCATCTCAACCCTGCCTGTCCTACATTGTTACCTAAGCAGGAGCCCCCCCTGGACTCAAACCCCTGCAGACAAGCGAGGGAGCCCTGCTGCGAGGAATGAGTCTCTCTGCGGCTCCGGCTCCTTTCACGGCCCCTTGAGGTGGCGCCGTAGGAGTGGTAGCTCTGAGAGGCCAAGTTGTGGTACAGTCGCTGGTCGGAGTTGTGTTCAGGAGAGGATTGTGACGCTCGGTAGCCAAATGAGTAACTTTCATAGCTGGGCAGACGCTCCAGACCGGCACAGGACTTGCCGTCCCCCAGCAGGTGGCGCCCTGGAGGGCAGGTGCACTTGAAGCTGCCCGGCGTGTTGAGGCATTGGTGGGCACAGGGCTGGGGCAGCCGCTCACACTCATTTATGTCTGCCCTCAGCACAAAGAAAGACCAGCAGCAGGACAAAGTGATAGAAAAAGAGGAGAAAAAGGTGCATAAAAATAAAGGTAGTATTTAGAAATGAAAAGAAATGAGGTGGTGCAGGCCATGAAAATAGAGATGAGATGAGGGAGATGAGAATGGGGGAAAAAAGGGGATATGTCAATTACCCCACTGTACAACAATACATGTTCATGTCCCTAAGACAGAAATGTATTGAGACTATAAAAACATTTGTCGTATTAGAATGAGAGATAGAGATAATCTCCTCTCATGTCAAATCAAAACTTTAAAGATAATAACTTTAAATCAATGCTACTTTGAATCTAGTTAACATGTTACGAAATCCAATTCATGCCAGAGGAATTCTTCACAAAGACAGAGCGTACAATGTTAATGATGTCATCAGGGAAACAGTGAATATATGCCATTACAAAGCAACTCCAGGAAATAGCCAGATCCAGACATAAAGAGGATAGTTTGAAGATTGAAGAAGAGGGAAAGGAAACAGAGGGATAGATGGAGCAGAGGTCATGGTGCTGGTCTTTTTATGGTTGATGTGTAAAAGAAGTAGACATTTATTTTCTGTTTCCCCTACCTCTGTCGTACTTTCCTACGCTTTCTCCTATCTGACAGTGTAGGTGAGCAGACGTAGCTTCAACATAGAGCAGTGTTTCTCAAACGTTTTCATACCAAGGACATCTTAACCAATAAAAAAAACACACACGGACCACCTAACTCCCCAGATTTCCAAAAACAAAGGGCCTGCTTACAACTCCAACAGTTTATAACAAATTACATCCTAATAATGACAGCTTAACCTTCTCTATATCGAATTCAAAATAAAAAACAGTAAAACTATGGTTGCAGTCCCAAGTTTAACATGAATTCAACAAGTTACAAGTTAATTATTTACATTGTTCCATTTATTTAGCATTGTTTACGCACTCATTGACTGTGTGTCTCTGTGGCCACCTATGCTAGTCATTCTTAAACAATTTGAGAAACACTTTAAATGTATTTATTTAAAATGTGAAATGTTACCAACATTCTCACGGACCACTAGGGGTCGCTCACGGACCAACAGTGGTCCGCGGACCACACTTTAAGAAGGACCTAATACCAGGCATAACATCTTTGCAGGGTATTTGAGTTAGTCAGTGGTTTAACCAGCAGCATTTTAGAAATGTAAGCAAGCACTGAAGATAAATGTCCGAGCTACATAGCAGTTATTAAAGATTTTCACCAGGAGTGAGTCACTGAAAAAAAGAGAGAAATATGCCAGCAGAAGCAAGCAAGCTGATGGGAGGTGTAAGGGAATAGCAGTGCACATTTTTCTCACATTCTTTCTTTGCTCAACATGCTGTATGGTTTGGCCTTTCACCTGCCTGATCAGTGCGAATGAAACCCTTTGAATGTAATACCATTTTGGATTCAACTTTTGTTATGTTTATGATAAGCATTAAAGATGTACATACCGAGGCAGGGCCGCCCCACTCCCTGAGATCTGTAGCCACGTGGACAGGTGCAGTGGTAGCTGCCTCTGGTATTCTCACAGATCTGATTGTATCTGCACTGATGAGTGCCATCCCTGCACTCATCGATGTCTACAGCACAAAGGACACAGGAGTTAATCATAATCTCTCCCTGTCTGAACTTTAATAAATGCACTTTAGCAAATGCCGTCTGGCTTAACAAGGAAGAATGTATGTTTGTGAATACTCACCTACACATGTCCCATTGCCGCCTTTAGTCATACCATTGGGGCACAGGTCAATACAGGTGTAACCCCCCCGTGTGTTTTTACACTGCTGATCTGACCGACAAACCCTCTGTCTGCACTCATTTATATCTGCAGTGATCAGAGAGAGGAAAGAGGAGGTCAATGTTTCTTAAAGAAAATGATGTGATAGTATTGTTTCAAGTAATTCATTATACAAAGTCCAAAACCAGTAGTTTTAAAAAAAAATAAAACAGATAAATTATACATCTCACCTGTACAGCGTCTGTTTCTGAGTTGGTAGCCCGGCTCACAGGCGCATCTGTAGCTGCCGATCGTGTTCAGACAGTGTTGATTGCACAGATTTGACTCCTGACACTCGTTTACATCTGAGCAACAACAAAGATAATTGTACAGCTTAACTTAAGCATCACTCAAAAACAAATGGTAAGTTTATCTATTAAGATTTGTCATGTACCAGTGCAACTGAGACCATCAGCTGTTCTCCTGAAGCCCCGCCCACAGCGCATGACACATCGGTAAGAGCCAATGGTGTTCTCACATTCCTCTCCATCATGGCACACGTTCGTATCCAGTGAACACTCATCAATGTCTATGAGAATTAACAGTAGGGAATTATTAAAACAATAATCTTTGTGTGCAATAATCATGCTAACAGCACTGATTCAGAGGTGAGTTGTTTACCCTGACATGTCCTGCCGTCAGCTGAGATGGTGAGGCCCCGGGGACACGAGCAGTAGTACGTGCCCATGGCGTTGTGGCAAGTATGAGAACATGGGTTCCCGAACTCACACTCGTTCTCATCTGCCGCACATCATTTGCATATAAAGAACAACACTTAAACTTCAACTAACAGTTATTTAAATGTAGATTATTGTGTTGATTAATCTCGCTTCATTGTTTAATTGTTTGGGTGAATGTAAATGTCAGAAAATTGTGAAAAATATCAGTGTTTTTAAAAAAGCCCGCAAAAGGTCTTTAAATAAAAAAAGTTTACTGTAATTAAGGAGTAAAGAGAGCAGAAAAGCTGGAACAAGACATTTTTTCTTAAAAAAATTGCATAAACCGAAATCTATTGTCAAAGAGTTAGGTAATACATTTACTAATTGACATCTTATCAAACTTATGAATTCAGCCTACAACGGGTACGTTTTGCTAAATAAATTTGAATAAGCATGAAATCTGCTGGTGGGCGTGTCTGGCGCGCGACAAACAACCAATCACATGAATCTCGCGGTTTGATTGGCTAGCGCTTGTACTGGCATATGATTTAATTGGCTGACGCTTCCGTCGAAGCTTGAAAAGTTGAAATGTTCTCAACTTTGAAGCGAGCAACGCGAGCAAAGCGACGCGACGGAACCACAATGCAGTTCGGCAAAGCCTGACGTCTACCCATTCAAAGTGAATGGGAAGCGTCTCCGTTGAAGCAACGCACGCTGCCGTGTGGACGGGTCGTTAGCATGCCGTGTGGTGATAAACATTACCTGCACAGTAGGGGCCGGCAGACACTAACGTGAATCCCTGAGGACACTGGTTACTGCGATCTCCTGAAAACATGTTTCAGTTACATTTGTATTACAGTTCAGACAAAAACATGGCAAGAAAAAAAAGATGTATCAGATGTAAAAGTCTGACTGGAAAAGAGTCTTATATAAATTGTTCAGTCCATTTCTCACCCATAGGCAAAATATGTTTTTACAATAAGTCCTTCACAGATAGTAATTCTCACCCTTAGCAATATTAGCTTGTATGCTATACTCCAACACTTCCTCCAGGGGGTTGTAGTGAGCTCTGATGGCTGTGGCGTGCAGCGTCTCTACGAGGAAAGGCATCTTGCCCTTGGACTGGTCGTAGGTGATGGTGTGGTTCCAGGAGTAGGGCACACTCTCCCGGTCGATGCTGAACATGCGGGTGGACAGAGCGTACAGCTGGCCCGGGCCCGTCTGGATGTAATCCTCTGTGTAGTCCTGAGTAAAGACAAAAGTGTAAACTTGAGGCATATTTGAGGTAGTTTTACATTGTGTAGCTAAGATAAACAAAAAGAGAGCTTTAGTGTATATAACAGGGCCTATACCTACAGGCGCTACAGGGGAACAGCTTATTTATGTACCTTGATACTGATGTCAGCGTGTGAAGGCAGTTGCAGGATGTGTCCGTTCACGACGATGTCCAGTAACAACACTCCATCTGAGTCCATGCCTCTGGCAATGTGGGTCATCCTCAGGATCTCACCTACCGAGATTACAAAACAGACAGATACATTCATGGATTTCCCCATGATAACATAATGAAAAATCCAATATCATCAGTCAATCATTCAAATACAAAAATATATGTTTATTCTTACCCGTGGCAAACTCCACCTGTGTCTCTCTCCTAAAGATGCTTCCTGTTAGCGTGTAGCCATTGACAGCCTCTCCCACTTCCTGTGCAGTGGCCCAGTAAACAGGGTTCAGGATCGAGATGAGCTTTCTCATTGCAGGACCTTGAAATAAAAGGCAGAGGAATTATTACATATTTTGAAAAGGTTCGAGAGAACAATTTAAGGTGCACTAAGTTGCATGAAGGGATTGTTATTTGATACATATCTCATATCAAAGTAGAAGATTTAAACACATGAACATTTTGGAAAACTGACCTAATGTCCTTGGTACATTAGTAATAGAGGCCTTGATGATTCTCTCTCCAAACTTGCTCTCTGTGATGGTGGCATTGAGGATGGCGATACCAAACTCAATATCGTTGATGTTCCCTATGATGCTCCCTCGGGCTTTCTGTGGTCCACCTGGCAAAAAGAAAAACATACTAAGCTTTGATTGCTGCACTCAACTGCACACATAATATACGCATCTTGACTAAAATGGCTCACCTGGGCAGGCCTGACTGCTACATCTGGACAGCTGAGAGGAGTCTCCTGGACACAGCCGGCCACCGTTGCTTGAAGACGGACTGTTACAGAGACGGACACGTGTCCTCTCTCCACCACCACAGGAAGTAGAGCAATCTCCCCATGGCTGCCATGAGCCCCAGTTACCATCAACTGCATTGATATATCCAAAAAACATAAATTTACTACAAACACTAACACACAAATCATCAAAAAACAGACATAAAGGCAGAGTATTTTCTTATTTACCTGATTAATTAAATACACTGTTTGTTCCAATAAATGTTTTTTAATTGAAAATGTATAGATATTTTCATTAAAATATTCCTATGAAATAGAAGCTGGACAACAACCCAATACTTGCCCAGTTTAGTAATACAATGCTGTTGAGTTTTTTACCAGACAGGAAAAAAGATACAGCAATCATGTTCAGTGAATTCAATGTGAAAGGCAAATACAAGTTCTATTTATTTAGATCACTTCTCATTTAAAGAGCATTTTATTGACCCAAAGGAACCTCTTCACCCTTAGCCTTTTTTAACCACTTACACTTTCTTAAACATGCTGACTCACCAGGACAGTTGGCTGTGCTGCATCTCTGTATCTGTGAATCTGCACCTGTACACGCTCGCCCACCATTGGCTGATCTGGGGTTGTCACATGTCCTGTAGCGCCTCATCTGACCTCCATTACATGTCTTGCTGCAGCTGCCCCAGCTACTCCATGGACCCCAGTTACCATTAACTAATGGAAAGAAAGTGTAAAAATGTAAGAGAGAGAAAAGGAATAGCCAGGAGTGAAGCCAAATGAGCCGGTAAGTTAATTTGACTGACTGGGGCAGGGGTCATTGTTGCAGAAGTCGATCTGGACGTCGTTGCCTTCACACTGCCTGCCAGCATGCTGAGGGGCGGGGCTGGCACAGAGGCGTGTCCTCTGTCTGGTCCCGCCTCCACATGAAACACTGCAGGTTCCCCAGCTCACCCAAGAGGACCACTTCCCATCCACTGGTGATCAGAATAAAAGAAGCATTATAATCAGTCAGTTAAACTTTAGTATTAATTCTCTTTTAATCTGATTTAATCGTAAAGTCAGATCTCTGAGCCCTTACCAGGACAGGGTTTCTCCTTGCAAAATTGAGTCTGGGTGTCTGTGCCCTCACACTGCGGCCCATCAAATGCTGGAGGAGGGTTGTTGCACAGGCGGATTCTGGACTGCATACCTTTACCACAAGACTCACTGCATGGGCTCCATGGCAGCCAAGACCCCCAGTTACCCGAAACTACAAGAGTGTATCAGACAGACAGTCATTATATACATACATACACTTCCATATTCAACCCAATGGTAGAAAGTAAGAACCTTTCTTTAAGTACTGCAGTTAAATTACATTTTTAAATATCTATTAATTTATTTGACAGCTATAGGTATCAGCAATGCTATATGAGTAATATAATATATCATGATTTAACACTTACAGGACCAATATTTTTGGATTATTTTGAGGATTATATTTGTGTGCTTTTACATAAATAAGGATACATTTTAAACTGTGGTTATGCTACTTTTACTTGAGTAAATCATGTGAATAATTATTTCGTCACAGAGTCCATTATGACAGATCATAGGCCTCTGAGACCTTGTGCAATTTAAAGCAAATATTAAAACCTAGAACAAAACCACAATCTTAATTGATTTATAGGAGGTTACAGATATGTATAATTTAAACAAATATATTAAAATCAAGCTCTGACTTTAGTATGTAGAAGTTGAAGAAAAGTGTAATTCTACACAAACATTACATTTCAGCTGTTTGTATGGGACATCACATTGAGAGTAAGCAAGCCTTCCTGGCAGTTTTTCCTCCTCAAACCAGCTGTTCATAAAGCTTACAGCCACATTTACAGAAAAGGTATTTTGTCTCTCACCCGGACAGGGTCTGACACTGCACATGATGACCTCCACTGCCCTCCCCTCACACGGTCTGCCTCCATGCTGAGCTGAAGGGTTACTGCAGGTCCGGACCCTCGTTCTGTTGCCCTGCCCACAGGTCCGAGAGCACTCCTCCCAGAGAGACCACTCTGACCAGTCACCATCCACTAAGGAGGGACAGACGTTACGATTGTGTTACCACATGTGCCCTTTGACAGTTCCCTTTACCTCAATAATCAGGATGAATCCTCTGATGTATTTAAAGCACGCTCACCTGGACAGGGCTTTCCCTGACAACTGCGTGTCTCTGAGTCTGATCCTGGGCAGTGACGCCCTCCATTGGCAGGCAAGGGATTGTTACACTGTCTGAGCCTCTTCTGGGACCCGACACCACAGGACACACTGCAAGGACCCCACTCTGCCCACTCCGAGTAGCCTCCATGAACTGGAAATTGCATGATACACAACACGTCATCAGACATTTGGTTGGTTTAGTAAGTACAATTAGGGTATCACAAAACGGAGTAAAAATTCCGTGTGTGTACTAATATCTGGCCAATATATCTAGTTCTGAAGATTTTTACTATGAAAGTTGACAATAAAATGTGGCACAACCCAAAATAACTCCCCACATGTCCTGCTCACCTCGTACAGTCAGAGTGACCCTGACCAGCACTGATCCCAGCAGGTTTCTGGCCACACACTCATATTCAGTGGTGTCTTCCTTCTGGGCACTGCTGATCCTGAGGGAGCTGTTGGAAAGTGGGGAGAAGCGGTCGTTGCCCAGCAGAGGGTGCCCCTGACGGGACCACTCTATCATGGGGGTGGGCTCACCCTCCGCCTGACAGTTGAGCACAACTGTGGTGCCAGCATCCACCACTGTATCCACCGGCTCCACTATGATGCTTGGTGCACCTGAAAGAATAGTCGATCCATATGATGAAACATATAATGGGGAATTGAGTGATTTCACACATCAACAACAACAAATGTGATGGTGCAATATTAAATAATTGGAGTACTCTTATAGGTTAGAGCTATTTTCACATGCTGTCTATGTAGAAAATGCAAGATTTTATGCTAAATAGGACTGACTGAATTAAGATAGGCACTTACTCTGCAGGGTAAGAGTGACACTCCTCTCCACCACACCAGCATCATTTGTTGCCACACACATGTAGCTGCCTGCATCTTCACTCTGTAGAAAATGTAAAACACAGTTACAATCTATCAGATCAAGCCTACAAATATGTTTAGATTAACATTATCATTTATAAATGACATCCTACTTAAAAATATATGTATGTGTCTATGTTATATATTAGACCACAGAGCCACCAGAGCACTCAGACTCTCGTCTCATGTGTTTTCATACCACTGTTCCATAGATAGCCAGAGAGCCGTTGTCCAGCTGTCGGATGCGGTTGCTGATCGAGATGTTTATTCCACCTTTGCTCCAGCGGATGGTGGGCAGGGGATCTCCCCGGACCTCACAGTTCAGGATGGCATTTCCACCCAGAGGTTCAATACGGTTGGAGTGATGCTCCCCATCAATGATAGGAGGCTCTGGAGACATCACACATCACATGATTAAGATTGAGTTGTGAGTTCAATGTTAACATTTTACCTGTCTACTATAAAGACATTTGTGAAAGAGACAACTGTGTTATACTATATTGTCATTTATGATCAGTTTCATAAGTAAAAGGATTTTGAGGGACTCATTTTACCTTTGACATAAACGAAGGCCAGAGACTTGATGGTCCCTACGCTGTTTTCTGCCAAACAGGTATAGGTGCCAGAGTCTTCTTTGCTCACTCGCTCTATCACCATTTCACTGTGGCCGTTCATGTGGTCGTAGTGAACTAAAGCATTGACAGACAGGTAAAGGACGATGAAAAAAACACATGCCGCATAAATATGGCATTCCCTTATGGATTTGGTGTTATATGTTCAGTTTATATAAAAGCTTTTACTCATCAATAGTGACCTTGCTACATACCTGGGAGGATGTTGTTGTTAAAAGTCCATGTGATTTTGGGAGGAGGGATGCCACTGACTCCACAGGCCAGTAGGACGCGCTCTCCCTTGTTGAGGGCAACGTCTCCGAGCAGCTCAGTGAAGACGGGGTGAGTGTGGACAGACAGGGTCGTCGTCTGACTGTCCTCTCCGACCGAATTTGTGGCAACACACGTATAACTGCCCGCATCATCAGGCTGGTACAAAGGGAGGGGAGAGGAGGAGAGTGTGTGCATGCAGGAAATAATCTTTAAAATCATCTTTTTGATGCAGGACAAGCCACCTTAGATATAGTCAATACGTGCCAAGTTCACTTTCTAGCAATTTACCCGTATCAATAAATAGTACAATTATTTTTAAATGTTTTTTCTACCTGAGCGACGTCTATAACTAGTTCTCCGGAGGGCAGGATGGTGTACTCCCCTGTGCTTTCACTGAGAGGATTACCATCCTTCTCCCAGGTCAAGCTTGGCTGAGGGACCCCCTCCACCACACACACCAGCTGAGCCTGACTGTTTTCCACCACCGCTACCTCCAGCTCTCCATCACGGATGGAAGGGGGGACTGCAAAGAAGTCATTGTCACATTCAAATGTAAAAGATAGTGTAGATTTGGTTGATAAACATACATTCACAAGGAGATTTGGCAGCCACAAATGCCCTGTTAACTACATTTTACATTTTGAGGAAAATTGGCTTGATCATGTAATGGGATAAGAGGAAACATGCAGTACACCAGAAGAAATGTGTGGAAAATAAACTGTAACAAATACACTTTGTACTTTGTAACTTGCAGTCAGAAGTAAACACAGCTACATCATTATTTTCCACCACAGTGATGTGGTTTAAAATACTACATTAATTGAAACTTACTGTGTACAGTGAAGCTCATCTCATGGCTGACCGTGCCTGCTGCATTGGCAGCAGTGCAGGTGTATCGTCCAGTATCACTTGGCTGGATGAAGGCGATCTGCAGGGATCCTGAACTGAGCACCCGTTGGCGCACAGATTCATGCAGCGGCTGCCCGTCTTTGTGCCATGTGACGGAGGGGGAAGGTGAGCCGTCAGCATGGCAGTGTAACGTCACAGAGGAGTCAACAGGTGCCAGATACTCTACAGTCTCTGAGCTGATCACTGGAGGAACTGCAGGACACAGAAAATATAAATACCACATGAAGTCACAACATTTTGAATATTTACTGATAACATAAGGAAATTAGGAATTAGGCTGTTAAACATGCATTTAGATGAATGAAGTTAGTTTGGGTTGAAGGTTTGTTTAACTGGTTAAGCTTGCGATGAAATAAGTGTCTGTTATAAAAAAAAGATTAATGTAGCATTTCATGCGGAGCTATCAGATTTCAATTGATTTCAAGGTGCATTTCTTACATGCCTGTACACATTCATGTATAACTTACTATGCCTATAAATCTAGTTACTTGGAGTGTGTGCCCCACCTTGTACTCTGAGTTTGGTCTTGCTCAGCGCAGTGCCTGCAGGGTTTTGAGCCACACATATGTACGTCCCAGAGTCTGACACAGAGGCCTTAGTGATCTGCAGACTTCCATTCGGCAAGACTGTGAAACTTCCACCTGGCAGGAATCAAGGACAGGCTGTTATGACTGATTACATATGATTGCTGACACACACATACATGTAGACAGGAGTAATTACCTGAGGTGGGTATGTTGATGCCCTCCTTCTGCCAGGTGATGGTGGGTCTGGGTGCACCTGTGGCCCTGCAGGGCAGAGTGATTGGGTTGTTCAGGATCACATCCAGGGTGGAGGGATGAGACTGTATCACCGGGAGCTCTGAGGAGAGGAATGGGAGAAGAGGGATTCTCAGAAAGATCCCAATAATAAAGTAAAATCACAACAGAATCACACAGTTGTTATAGCTTAATGAAATATTCACATTGGATCATTTACCCACAACACAACTATGATATGAATAACAACTTTTAACAATGAATAAGTTTGGCTTGCTGCTCTCTTTACAGCCTCCAGACAGCAGTTTATCTCTTGATTAATGGATCCTCAGGATGTTCTTACCCTGCACTGTGAGCTGCACATGGCGGTGGGTGGATCCTGCAGCATTCTTGGCTGTGCATGAGTAACGTCCTGAGTGACTGAGCTCAGCTGAGGTGATTTCTACTGGACCTGAGCACACACACACACACACACACACACACACACACACACACACACACACACACACACACACACACACACACACACACACACACACACACACACCAAATCAACCAATTTAATAAAGCTAATTAATCACACAGGTGACATTTATCACTTATAATCTTAATTGCAGTGTTAGGGGAGTCACAGCTGTAGCCTTTCTAAAACTTAGCACAGGTTGAAGAATGAGCTGAAAACTAAAGCATTATTAACTCTAGTTTGCTGCCGATTTAGGAGTTTTGTTGGCAGTTTGGAAGGTCATGTACTAAATACAATACATTTATTCTGATTCTGACCTGTAGGTAGGATGCTGTAGCCTTGTCCCTCTTTAGGAAGCCTCGAGCCATCTTTGCTCCAGTGGATTGTGGGCGCTGGGACACCAGAGGCAGTGCAGGCGATAACCACTGGGGACAGTCTGGTCACAACCAGCTCTGTGGGTTCATCTGCTATAGATGGTGGAACTAGTAGGACATACAGTCAAACTTGTTAAGAAAATATCTAATACATTTAATCACATATTGACACACCCTTAATGGACGTACCAGAATAATAATGATCACATTTTAAGAGATTGCTCACCGTGGACAGTGAGGTTGATGGATCTGGAGTATTCTCCTGCCTCATTAGAAACCACACATTCATACACAGCTGTGTCCTCGACTGTTGGTGCTATAACTACCAGGGAGCCTGATGACAGCAATCTGTAAGTAACTAAAAGTTAATTATCTAAGAGAACATTCACTATGATGTGCACCACTATGAAAATGTATCTTACAATGAAACGGTCAAGCAAATAATGTTATTAATGTGGTACTACGTTCCATTTTTGCATTACAGAGTTTTTCATCTTGAGTTATAGAACAGAGAGGGAGAAAACCTGGATCAACCTGTACATATTCTGGTTCTGGTCAGTATTGATGGTTCGACCATTTTTGATCCAGCTGACAGCGGGTTTGGGTATGCCTGTGGCCTCGCAAGACAGGGTGGTCTGAACGTTGACTGTAACCGTCACATTGGTGCGACTGTCAGCGATGGAAGGAGGGACTGAAAGATGAACAATTAGGATCATAAAATGACTGGGGGATTTTTGCTTGTGGGTGATTGTGTAAAAGTATTCATGTGTTTTACCACCCACCAAAGACTTGCAGATCCACTCTCTTGCGCTGGGTCCCAGCCTGATTTGTTGCCATACACAGGTAGCGGCCAGTGTCTGTCACCTGAGCAGAGTGGATGTGTAATGACCCATCCTCTGCAAATGTATACCTGAACACATTTGTACAAACTGGTTAAGATACAGCATCGAGAAAATGTCAATAAATAGATATTACCTGTAATATTTGAACCTAATTTCTAGATTTAATATCGTGGAAATACATGATGTTCATCAGCAATCGTCATTTAATAAGGAAAATATTGCTCATTGAGAAAGAGAAAGGCATCCTAATAATATATTTTGATTTACCTGGGGTTGTTTCCTGCCAGGATGGCACCGTGTTTCCTCCAGGTTACACGAGGCGGTGGCACTCCACTTACAATACACTCAAGCACTGCAGGCTTGTCAATGTGCACTGACATGGTCTGGGAGCCTTCCTTGATGGTTGGGGCCACTGAGGACACAGGTTACATTTTTTACTTGAGAAATGAATTCAGCTCTATGAATAATTACGGAGAGAATTACTCAAATAAAAACACTCCTCTTTGATTTATGCAAGCATAGACAGTATCTCATGATATATATTAGTTTTAGATCAAATATGTCATTGTACCATTGACAGTCAGGTTAAACTGACGCGTGGTCTTGCCAGCGATGTTGCTTGCCACACAGGTATACTGAGCTCTGTCGTTGAGCTCGGCCATGTTGATTTGTAAGTAGCGGCCACCAGAAAGAATACGCACTCGGGCAGAGGCCTACAAAAAGATAGAAAAATCATTTGTGAATATATTTTGCGGGAAGTCACATTATTGTGGGATATGTTATTTGTTTGGTTTCTGACCTGCAATGGTTGGCCATCTTTGAGCCAGCTGAGAGTTGGAGGTGGGACAGCATCAGACTTGCACTCCAGGATAACCTGTCTGTTCTGTAGCACTGACAGGTCCTGAGGTGTGCTCTCCCCCGCAATGTTAGGGGGGACTGTTGGGGGAAATCCAGAAAGAGACCGGGTTACCTGGATTTTATGTCAACTTACATTACATTTGATTAATTGTCCAGACAAATATTGCAGAAAAAATATTAGTACAATTGTAACATGCGCATGGGTTGATGAATCATCCTTTTTGTTGTACATTTAATATAAGGTAATTAAAAAACCCACCATTCACTCGAACCAGGAACTCCTTGTCGTCATCTCCTGCTGGACTGTTTGCTAAGCAGCTGTATCTGCCTGTGTCCTCCAACTGAGTGTAGAAGAGTTTAGTAAAAAAATGTTATCATATAGAGCATTTAAAGATGTTTTGTTCATTTTTGCTGACAAATAATATAACAGACAGAGAGAGTCTGCCGCGCAATTAACAATACTTAAAGGAAGTATGTTTTTGATGCTTTCATTGGAAAGGGTAAACAAATAATTTTTTTATATATGAGACATTTTATTTCACATCAACCTTCCCCTTTCACTGACCTGTGCTGAGGCCACACGGAGAACCTCTCCCCCCCGCAAGAGGCGCACACTGTCTGTCTGTGGCAGCGGGCGTCCATCCTTCAGCCAGGTCAAAGAGGGCGTAGGGATACCTGAGGCCTCACACTGAAGCTCCAGGACATTATTAACCACAACAGAAACTTCTGCAGGTACTCCAGAGCCCTTGATGTGTGGAGGGTCTAAATATGAAAACATAAACAAACAATAAGTCTTTCCATACTTTATATGATTCAAAGACTGTAGCTGGATAAAGAGAGTAATAATCTCCTCTTACTCACCCAGCACTTTTAGGTTGAAGTGGCGGCTAGCTTGGCCAGCGCTATTGTTAGCCATGCAGGTGTAGCGTCCTGTGTCATTGACCTGAGTCTGGATGATTTGGATAGTTGTATTCAGGTTTAGGAACTTTAGATGAGGGTCAGTAAGTAGAGTTACCCCTTCTTTAAGCCAGGATATAGTTGGGGTTGGGGTCCCATCAGCAATACAAAGCAGAGAAGCCGAGTTTCCTCTGACTACAGTCACATCCTCTGTGCCGCCGGCTCCATCCAAACCAGGAGGGACTAAGGAGAGTAATACAACATATTAATGACTATTGGTAAACAGTTTGATCGAATTGTGTTTGGTAATAAGTTTCATTTTCAATTTTTACAAGCAAGTAATGTTTTCAGACTCACCATGCACTTGTAGTTTATAATGTCTGTTGTCCACTCCTGCTCTATTTGATGCAACGCAGGTATAGGTGCCACTGTCGGACACCTGAGAGCGTGTAATCCTAACAGAAGCCAAAGGTGCAACATATAAGTGTCCAATTACAATTTAACTAGGACCCAAAAAATACCCAAAACCAATGGATCTTTGAAAACAGCATGTCAGAAAATGAAACACTTTCTAATGCAACTCATTACAGTGAAATTGCATTAAGCAGGGAGAATTTCCATACTCATGTGTTAGTAGGAATACCTGCAGGATAGTTTAAAAAAGATAAGCAACTTATTATCACATTTTACAGAAAGTGAAATAAACCTATGGCTCACACAACGATTTGCAAACATTTCTGAATAGAATTTTTCCCACAAGAAGTTGTTCTTAATGCAGCACCATGTGAAACAAACTCTTTTTGAGCCCTGTCCACTGACCTACCGAAGCACCTGTCCAGCAGAAAGAAGCCGTATGTGGGAGGAGACTGGCAGAGGCAGGCCGTTTCTCAGCCAGTTGAGCTGGGGCGGAGGAGAGCCTGCTGCAACACACTCAATGTTGACAGAACTGTCAAGAACTGTGGTCAGCTGCTCAACTGTCTCACTGTTGCCGTCTATCACAGGAGGCACTGAGAGAGCAAAATGGAAAGCAAAGTCAGTGAAAAACAAACTCCTCATGCTATAAACAACTAGTTTGTACTGGACGACACGAATAGAAAATCAATGAAACCCACCATACACATTCAGATTGAATATCCTGTCTTCTTCCCCTGCAGTGTTGGTGGCCACACAGGTGTACTTGCCACTATCAGGTGTGTTAGCTTCGGTCAAAGTGAGTGTGCTTCCATCTGGACTGATCCTGAATGCAAAGGCATTATTGCACCATCATCAACACACTCACCCATCACTGGATTGGACTACTGTCAGATCTTTTTTTATGCAGAAAGCATTACCTGAGCCCTTGGTTTCCTGTATTGTTGATGACTTCGCCATCCTTTAACCACTGGATGGTTGGAGCCGGGGTTCCCCGAGCCTGACAAACCAGCTGGATGCTTTCATTGAGAAGGACTCCCATTTCACGCGGCATCTCTGATCCAGATATGCTGGGAGGAACTAAGAAAGAATAACTGGTCTTAGCACAATCCTATAAAGACATGTATTTGTATGAGAGCATACTGTCAGCACATTAATCCTGATGCTGTAATCTTCTATGGGGCTCATGGAAAGAGAAGCTTTTACATTTCTTTAATTTGCAACTGGTCTTTAGAAAAGGGTTAGAACAGATTTAAATATATTTATAGTATAGTGTGCATGTACTTTGTATAGAGAGATGGTAGCTCTTGCGTGCCTTGCCCTCCACGTTGGTGGCCACACATGTGTAAGTGCCGCTGTCAGCAACCTGTGACCGCGCAATCTGCAGCTTGCTTCCTCCTGCGAAGATGTGCATCTCCAGAGACTCTGAGTTCTCTAAGGAAATACGAAGAACATATGTTTGGTATATATGAAATGACCATGACAAAGTTACAGTACCATGTTATGTAGTAGTACCACTTTCCCTTTGTCTCATCAACAGTTACATGTGTTAAAACAGGTTATTTAATTTAAATGTAACACACAGATGAAGAATAACTTTTCTGTCCCAGGAAGAAATTGACAAAACGCAGGCTTACCTATAGGTCGTCCATTCTTTAACCACGCAAGGCTTGGAGGAGGGATTCCAGTAGCATCACAGGCAAAGGTGACTGGGTTACTGATGGTTTCCACAACACTCTCCTCTGCTGGGCCATCAATACTGGGAGGCACTGAAGAGAGAAGTAGAAAGATTTGTTTCAATATTATAATCTAAGTGTTAAGCAATTCAATGTTTGTTTTAGTAAGTTTATATTTTTGAAGAATTAAAATATTTTGTGAGCTACCATAGATATTCAAGTGGAAGTTCTTGTCCACTTGTCCAGCAACATTGGTGGCCTTGCAGACATATTGTCCTGTATCAGACACCTGAATGAAAGAGACGACAGTCAAGAAAGATGGGAAAGAAAAACATTGAAAACAATATTATGACAAATACAAATAAGGTGACAAAGACAAGAGTTGCTTTCATCAAAAGAGAGAAAAAAGACCTCACAGTAATGGCCACTCCGTTTGACTTGCTGAAAGAAGATCAAGAACAAACAACAGCGCATCTCTTACCTCGGAGCCTTTGATCTCAAGCATCTGTCCCTCTGCCACGATGCGCAGGTTTGCCGTTTCTGTCACCATCCTGCCATTTTTGTACCAGGTGATGGTGGGTGGAGGGACAGCGTTGGACTCACACTCCAGCTTTACTGATTTCCCAACGAGCACATTCACCACCACAGGAGAATCCCCACCACTGTCCCGGATACTTGGAGGGACTAAGAGTCAAAGGACAAAAACATTATCCATCAGTTTATGATGTAAAGTCAGGGCTGTACATTCAACACAATATGGGTTTGTACTGACCAAAAACTGTGAGATACATTTGTTTGTATGCCTCTCCTGCTGCATTCATGGCCACACAGCTGTACTTTCCTCCATCAGAAACTTTGGCTTTCAGAATCTGTAGTGTACGACCACCTAAAGGCACAAATGAACACACCGACACATGTTAGAATGAACTGTTGTAGATCTTTTTTCAGGCTCAGATACAGATATTCTTTGCACACGTAAATAAATTAAATGTAACCCAAGTTGCAATACCTGGCATGATGAGTGCATTGGTGTTGGCCTGAATGGGACCCCTGTCATTTAGCCAGCTTAGGGTAGGAGGGGGGAAACCAGTAGCTTGACAAGAGAGTGACACAAAATGGTTCACCACCACAGTCACAGTCTCAGGACTCAGGCCGATAATGGTTGGAGGTACTTGAAGGAAAAACATAAGAAATATTAAGTATAGCAAACAGTATTTTTAACACAATCAAATCATGTATAAAGTAGATCGAAATCAGTGCTTTCCACATGAAAGTAAATGTAGATTTCCTCTTTACACAATTATGATACTAAAAGACAATTAAGAATGGAAATGTGACTCACGGTGAACATTAAGGTTAAATGACTTGTCTGCACTTCCAGCCACATTGTCAGCCACACACACATAGCGCCCTGTGTCCGACACCCGAGCAGTCAACACCTGGTGGTTGGGAAAAACAGAGAAATGTGGAATCTAGTAAGAGCCAAGATCTACTTAAATAGACAGGATCAGTTAAAGTGATGAAGCAATTGTTTTGTATTGGGACAGATATTCCACTGTCTGTTGTATCCGCACCTTAGAAAGTTACACAAAAGTGGATGAAGCCAATCTAATACCAAACAATTAAAGTTTTATAAATATATTTATGGAAAGGACCTTCTGTCGATTTCATTATATTGTACAAGGGTTTCTATCTTTGGTTAATATTATAGGCTACTGTTATATAAGAGTAACTTGTAATGAAAATGGGCTAAGAAACATGTGGAGAACAACTCTCTTTGCTTTCTAGTTTTTACCTGAAGTGTTCGCCCATTGGACAAGATCCTATGTGGCCCATCAGAACTGACTGGCTGGCTGTCTTTAAACCAGGTGATCTTGGGGGCGGGGTTTCCATCCACGTAACACTCCAGTTGGGTAGTTTTGTTGACTAAGACAGTGACCTCGTCGGGCAAATCACTGTCTATTCCTCGTATGGTCGGCGGCACTATTGTAGGACAGTAACACAATGAGAATGAGAATCAGGTTTGTAGCCAAGAATGTTTTTACATAGGAAATGAATGCAATAACAATAAACAGTAAACTGCTTTTGTGGTGGCAAGTTTTGGTCCTGATTGGGCCGTTGCCTCCTGCCAGAGGGGAGTGGTTGAAACGGTTCATTGCAAATAAAAACACTCCCCACAACCGTCTGATACTTTAACCATAATGAAAATAGTTTTTACTCACATAATACTCTGACATCATACTGAATGGAGTCTTCTCCTGCTTCGTTGACAGCCACACACGTATACCTTCCTGAGTCTTCAGCCTGGGATCTGGGAATCTGTAACACTCGCCCACCTGTGAATAAAATGTCAAAGATTAGTACAAACTCATTCTCCATATTGCTTCCTCCCTGTTTTGTATGTCAACTCACCCGGCAAGATCAGAACTCTGTCATTTGAGGTCTGCAGTTGTCCGTCTTTGTACCAGGTGAGTGTAGGAGGAGGCACTGCATTGGACTCACAATACAGAGAGATGGGATTGTTGAGTATCACATCTCGAACTTCCCCTCCAAAGCCTGGGGGAGATGTGCTATCACCAACTCCACCAGGCCTGTTGAAATTAGGCGGAACTGAAAAAGGAAAAAGTAATCATTTTTTTGTCAACTTTATTTTTGATTTTGGCTGAGAGCAGACTTTAAGGCAGAAATTGTTCCTTTATGAATTAAGGATGCTGTAAAATGAATGGTATTTTTCTTTTAAAGCACAAACATTTTTGCAGAAATTACCATTTTCAAACACACACACAACAACAGAACCAGAATACACTTTGAGTCCATGAAATGCATAAATAGTCTCAGTTAACACATCAGCTTCAGTCGACCCAGTTCACCTTGTATATTTACATCAAAGTCCTTCTCATCCTCTCCAGCTATGTTAGTGGCTACGCAGGTGTAGCGGCCGGTGTCTGACACCTGAGCGTGCTTGATCTGAACAATACGACCGTTGGCTGTTATGGACACATGTTCATCCGTGCGCAGGATCTATGGGGGAAAAGTAATTACGAGAGTGAGGAATCAGAGCAGGTTTTACAGGTGATTTTTTTTTTTCTCCCATAATCCCTCATAGAATTAAATCAGATTGCTACCTGTCCGTCCTTAAACCACTGCAGTGCTGGGGTAGGAAAGGCCTGAGCTGCACACTCGAGGGTCAGCGTGCTGTTGACCTTGATCTTGACCTCTTTGGGTGCCAGTCCCTCCCCTGGAATATCATTCTTATTGATCTGAGGAGGAACTGGGGTCAAGAAACATGTTTAGAATACATTGATATTGTTTATATGATCATGTTTCATCCATCACCAAGAATGTACAGATTTAACACGTAATCTCTGATCATTACTATCAGTATTTGAGCTATATTTATTTATATTATACGATACAATTTCTTAATGATGAATGAATTATGATCTAACCTGTGGTAAACAACATTTCAAATGGGGCTTTTGAATGATTCGTTGTGGGAAAATCAGTTTTCAAATATTTTAATTACATCAAATCATCAATTATTTTTCAGTCGATAAAGATTGTCTTTGAGGAAAGCTCTATTAAGATACAGCATGTTCTCAAAGACACATAAATCTCACCATAAACCTTGACCTCATAGTGCTTCAGGGTCTCTCCAGCCTCATTAGTGGCCACACAGGTATATCTCCCAGCATCCTCTTCTTTAGCGTTCAGGATCTGCAGGGTGCGCCCACCTGTGAAAGCATGGGTGATGGATTACAGACCCTACTGCTGTATTCTATTACATTTCAAGTCTATTGTTATGTAAGTGGGATCTCAAACCTGGAAGGACTCGGACGCTGCGACTTGACTCAAACGGAGTGCCGTCCTTGAGCCAGACGATGAGAGCAGAAGGGTAGGATTGGACTTCACACACGAGAGAGGTGGGGCTGCTCAGAGTGACGGTCACCTTCTCTGAAGAACCGTCAGGACCTGATCCAGCAATGGTGGGAGAAACTGGCAAAAAAAGGAGGGAAAAGCACAGTAATAAAACTAAAAGTAATACACCTAGCAAATAGTTTTATTCATACTGTAAATAATACAAAAAGGCATTGTGTTTGTACCCAGGACATTGAGGTTGAAGTGCCGGCTGCGTTCCCCTGCACTGTTGGATGCCAGGCAGCTGTACCTGCCGGTGTCTGCAATTTGGGCCGCAGATATTTGGAGGAAACGGCCGTGAGACAGAACCTGGTGCCGTGTGTCAGGCACCAACAGCTGTCCATCTTTCAGCCATTTAATCTCTGGTACAGGGTTGCCTATGAAATAAATGAAATTAGCAATACTCAATTGATCAAGTGAATTCTCATTAGCAGAACACGATATTTAGACGCCAATGTGTTCTGTCACTTACCTGAGGCCTCACAGCTGAGAGTGATATTGTGTTTCTCCTTCACTTTAGTATCCGCCACAGTTCCCTCGACTACAATGCTTGGTGGAACTGTCGAATCAGACTGAAAATCAATTACAATGTTCTCACTGTTTTCCCATTCATTAAAAAGTGATCACAGCAAGATACATGTTTATCATATATTTTTTTAATTAATGTAAATGAAATCCAATGTCCTATAAATGTAAACACATTTTCACACCTGACACCAGATTTATTATTTTTATTTAATTGGATTGGATTTGAATTTGTATCGTGAAGTTTTTATTTTCACTCAATATAATGCCATCTAACAAAGAAAATAATAAAATAGGTTTTTTATATCTTTACCAAGGATGTCGAGGTCAAAGTTCTTTCTTTCCTCTCCCGCGATGTTAGACACAATGCAGGTGTACCTCCCAGCATCCTCCACTGCAGCATGCATTAGACGCAGGCTCCGGCCACCTAGACATATACCAAGCCAATTATTTCCCTTTATTTGGTGTAATAATTGAATGTTTTCAAACGCAATGTAACCATTCATCTACCCATTATTTTTACAAAAGAAAAGCATACCATGGACGTGTAAACAACATTCAAACCCTGTTGAAAGTGGGTCACCCCTCTTTGAAAACAAAAAATTAATGAGAAGAATTGAGACTGAGGCTCACAGCTGTTAAAATATTTAGTCGGCATCAGTTTTAATGATATTTAAGACTAATTTAATCTGTATCTACAAACTGTGTCCTAGAAGGGTTAATGAGAATCTCCTGAGAAAATAAGTAAAAACCACTTAGACAATGTTTTAGTTTGCAAATCCTGAGCTCATGCCTAAAAATCGCGAAAAGTCGAACCCAAAATCATATTGGCTGGGAATGGTATGTTTAACTTGAGGCAATGGTTTAATTTGAAGACCTCAATATGCCTTGTAAAAGGTTTAAAAACACAATTCAAAGCAATTGCTCCTGTTTGACTTGTTTCACAATTCTCTGTCAGTTGAGTTTGGCCCCAGTGGCAATGATCCTATTACATCCTATTACTGGTGATGTATTGCAACTGCTTGGCCTCGGAAATCATCTAGGAAGCCAAAAGTTCAAGTTGTTACTCTGTCTGAAATCGAGGCTATCATTTATATTTTTGGTGGCTTGTTTTCATTGACTCCTTCATGACTAGCAAGCTAAAGTATGTATATATTCTTTTAGATGTTTGAAGATATCTGACATGGCACACAATAACATGGGGAGATCAATCTTGAAAAACGGTTAACTTTAAAATAAATAAGGTTGTATAGCTTTTGTAAAAAAAAATGTCAAGCTCATTAGGTCACACAGTTACTCACCAGAGAGGACACGCACTGAACTCGTAACTTTGATTGGCCGACCATCCTTTAGCCAGGTGATGGCAGGTAGAGGGATACCAGAGGCCTCGCAACTCAGAGCAACTGGGTTCTTCACTACAACACTCACATTCTCTGGCTGCTGCACCTGACCAATTATGCTAGGTGGGACTGAACAAGAGGAGAAATTAAAGAAACAAATATAAGACCTTGAAATGGTCTGTAATTCTCCTAACTGATGAACAAAACAGATAAAGCAACATTTTCATACCATGTACACTAATGTCATGCTTGCTGTCAGCCTGTCCGGCCACATTGACAGCGATACAGGTGTAGCGTCCTGTGTCTGACACTTTAGCATCTTTAATCTTTAACAGCCTCCCCTCATTCAGGACTTTGGCTCCGTGCTGGCCTGTGATTGGCCGGCCATCTTTCAACCATGTGATGGCTGGTCGGGGCACGCCCTCTGCAGCACACTGTAGGGTCACATCACCTCCTTTTGTGAGGGCAACGTTCTCCGTGTCGCCCTCGCTGCGTCTGATGGAAGGGCGGACTGAAGTGGAAGAGAAGCAGGTGAGTTGGTGCTCTAATCCTTCAAGAGATGCTAAGCACATGACAATCAAATTTGTCATACTGTATGACCTGCATAAATATATACCTTTCTTTTAAACTTAGAGGCATAATTTAAGTGGCTCCAGTTACATGCATGATGTTTTATTAATTTTAAACACGGTAAAGTCTTATAAAACATACACACATTTTCCCCCTGCTTTCTTTGTTCATAAAAGGAAACATCCATTTAATGTCTTACACCTAGCCTAATTCTTGGTCTAAAATACTTAAAATTTAGAATAATAAGGAACACTTTGTACACGGTTGCTACCTTTTTAACTTATTTACTATTACTCTTTACCACAATGGTGTTACCTACCAACATGTAAAATGATTCACATTTTTGCCACATGTAACGGATTTCTCTGGCAGTGCATTTTTCTAAAAAGGCAAATATTTAAACTGAAATGAATTGGATATCTAGATGTCACAGATCTGGTAGAACATACACACCATAAACCTGCAGGCTGTACTCTTTTGAGGTGGTGCCGGCCGCGCTGGAGGCTGTGCAGGAGTAAGAGGCTGTATCTGTCCTCTCAGCGCTGGAGATCTGCAGCTGACGACCTCCTGACAAAACCCTGACCCGTTGGTCCGACTTGATCTCAGAACCTGGGACAAATACAGAGGACAGGTTAGTCTGGTTTCTCACAGTACATTAAACAATGTCCACATAGAGTAGCAATACTTTTGCCCTTTGTTTCTCTACAAACAAATAAGACACTTACCATCCTTCCTCCAGGTTAGGCTGGGGGGCGGTATCCCACTGGACTCACACACCAGAGTAATGAGACTTCCTTCAGTCACAGTCATAGGAGAAACCTCCTCTGAGCCATGGATACTGGGAGAAACTGAGATAATGACATGCACCAAAAGGAGGCGCTCACATCACATTCATTGTACATGCTGGTTTATTTCCCTGAGGTGAAAGTGAGAAAGTCCTAACAAGTTCCCAACAAATCCCTGCTGCAACTTCACTGTTGAATGTGAGAGGAAAAGGAAATGTTAACATAACACTGTTGATATCATGTTTTTAAACCTATGAGGCCATCACTGTTTTTCATAGAGATTGGGTGCAGGTTAATCAATGGTCTTTTACAACTAATCAAATATCTTATATTAATATCATAAATAAATGACACAAATATATATAAAATCTATATTATATTTTACTTTTTACTTTCAGACTCAGCTTCTTAGCCAACATAAACATATTCTTATAAAGCAGTTTAGCAAACACCCCAAAGATAAACTCACCCCAGACGTTAAGATTGTAGTTCTTCTCTGTTTTCCCAGCAACATTGGTGGCTTCACAGGAATACCTGCCTGAATCCTGCACCTGGGCACTATCCACCTAACAATATTAGAAAAATCACAAGATATGGTACACTGACAAACTCTGAACTCCAATTAAAAACAAGGTGAATAGTAGAAGTACAATGATTTTGATTAGGAGGAACTTAAAATACACAAGCTATAACAAAATACTATGACCTTTTACACAGATTACGAAAACAGTTTTATGATTCATAATTTCGGCTGTACCTTAAGCACACTCCCATCTGCTGACACAGTCAGACCGGGCTTCCTGAAGAGTGGACGGCCATCTTTGCGCCAGGAAAGGGTCGGTGGAGGGATTGCATCGCTCTGGCACTGCAGCTCCACTGGACGGCCGAGCATCACCGTGGCATTCACCTCCTCACCCTTAATGTTAGGGGGCACTGCGGGAGACATGAAGGCAAAGTATTGAAGAAAAAAGTATGTCTGCAAAATGGAGAGATTTAATGATCTGGCCATACACACTATTCAAGTGTTCTTTTACATTAATTGAACTTGAAAGCTATCCTCCAAGGAAATTCTAAATCCTGTAAAGTCCTTCATATGACATCATTAGCAAAGAGAAAACATTGCTTCCTGAGATCCAAAGGCTCTGTAAAATTGGGCATCTGGTGCTCTTTAAATACTAATTCTATCTTGGGCTATGACTGCATCATTAAACCAGTTCAACATTTTCTGTGGTATTATTAACAATCAAAGTTGCTTAATTTCCAAGAAGTTCTTGAAACCTGATCTCAATGCAAATTGCTAACATGCACTGCATAATGACTCAAGTGCAAAGAAATGTGGACAATAATGTTTTTGCGCCCTGTGACTTTCTAAGCAAAACAACAAAAGATTGCTGAGATCGGTTAACTAGATTTCTTATTTCTGGGACTTTTGAGCAACAGGGAGGCAAACAGTGGGAAATGCTGTGCAACAAGTCAGGAAGTGTCTGGAGGTCTCCACCCCATGAATGGCTCTATTCTAACAAAAAACTGGACCAATAAAAAACATTATGTGGCGATTTTGATCATTTAAGCTTCTGTTTCTGAGGCAAGACAGTCAAACTTTTGGGTGAATCTGGCCTGACCTAGAAAAGGACTGCTGGCTCATTTCCCTTCAGTAGGGTCATGGGGGAGAGACTGACAGGCCCTCAGCTCAGCATTTGGCCAGACACAGGAAGCTACAGAAGAATGGTAGCAATTACCACAACAAATCCGCCTTTATTTCTGCGGACAAGCTTTTTTTGATCTTTCGGAGGAAACACACGTCATGTGGATGTTTGTATTGAGCATACATATATTGAAACAGACATACAGAGACAGACACACGGGCACATATTCTATATGTAAACTACTTGTCTCCTGTTACCTCAGTGACAGTAGCTTTGATCAGACTTGTATAACAAATCATCTGCCATCACGCTCAGCTCTGTGGACAAAACTGACATGGTTTATTGAAATGCTAAACTTAGTCAAAGCATACTTCCTCTACAGACGCATGTTTTGCTAGAGGCCCTTTTCAAATATAGCTTCACTATTTTATTGATAGATCTGGTGCTCTAGTAAAGGACATTTGAAAGTCGGCCATAATCATAACTCATTTAAACAAGAAGGGAACAAAGAGTGTTATGAGGAAATCATTTAAATATAAAAACGTTTCTTCCCACTATCCTAAAACAAAACATAAGATTGAAACATCCTAGAGCTGCAAATTCTTTCCATTGTTGATTCATCTCATGGTTATTTTCTCAATTAGTATGTTAATCGTTTGCCTGCTAAACGTAAGAAAATAGTGAGAGTCCCTGAGTTATAGAGGACATACATTATGTAAATATTATTTTCTCTGTGACTAACAGTCTACATCAAAGATATTCAGTAAACAATCATAGAGGAAGAAAAGAAAAAATCTGAAACCATAGCATTTCAAAAGAAATGTTGGTTTGTTTGTTGGACTTCATTCAATGCAACTTCCTACTATTGATTTTCTCCTATTATGTCATATGTCTTTTGTAAAATATGATATGTAAGATTATGTATATGTAGCTACAGTATTATAATATATTTCACATACACGTAATCTTTGCACATGTAAATGTTCGTAAAAACTTGTGAACTACTCACCATAAATCCTCAGGTCGTACTCTCTGTGTTGTTCCCCTCCTGCATTGACAGCCACACAGGTGTACCTGCCTGTATCACTAACCAGAGCGCTGTTCAGAGAAAGCATTCTGCCACCAGACAAGACCTAACAGGGAGAAAGAGACGATTAGACACGGCACACATGCAAGTACACAATAACGGCCAACTAAAAACCTACAGAACAAATCCATCTCTATGACACGTTTAATGAAAATGCAGACATATTGTAAATATGGAATGAAATGATGATGAATGAAACATTAAAACAAAATGTAAATCAAAGTACAAATCCATAGCATCCTATTGATATGCGTTGACATAATGTATACACACCTGTATGCCATGTGATACACTTGCCACAGGGCTGCCATCTTTGAGCCATGTGAGGCTGGGCAGAGGAACACCGGTGGCCTCACACTGCAGCCTGGCAGCCTCGTTCACAACAACTGTCACTGTGCCCCCTCGACTGGAGATGATCGGAGGCACTGCAAGGACATTTAAATAATTGCATAAATCCATGACAGTTAAGCAAAACAGATACATTTTACAATGCTGCTGAAGGTTTATAAAGTCAGATAAGATGGATAAATTAATATTATCTTTACCCTGTGTGACCTAATTATATGAAGGAATAGCCAATCTCAGTTGTAATGTATGCTCACCGTACACCTGCAGACTGTGGGATATCTCAGCAACTCCAGCCAGGTTGACCGCTACACATCTGTACATCCCAGCATCAGACAGTTGAGCTCGTTCAATCTCCAGCACCTGGCCACGCTTCAGCATAGTGACCCCAGCAGCACTTGTCAGCGGTCGGCCATCTTTGTACCAAGTGATAGCTGAAACACAAAGGTTATTCAAGGCTTTACATAAAGCAAATGGAAAATACATATTAATAACATCTTAAAATGGAAGTTGGAGTGTGCAAAAAATGTATTAAAGGCAGAAATGTGTTTAAATTCTGTCTGACTAGCAATGGACAATGGAATCTCAAATCTAATTAAATCTTTATACATGCAACATTGTTCACATAAATCAGATTTTTGTAGAGGAACACGTTCTGTTAATTGCAGAGAAATCACAAGAAAAGTGGTAAATTCCACTTGAACTTGACTTCTTAACTGTACTGTTGTACATTGGAAAATAAAGGCAGTGGAAAGAGAGTAAAGCTGCCTGAAGGGAGTCATCTGAGATCAATTTTCTGCTGCTCCATTAACGCTTAAAGATAAGGCAAGCAGCAGTATAGACGGTTCCAGCACAGCGGTCAGAGGAAACTACGCCCTGGAGCCTGAGAGTGAGCGCAGCGGGGACAGAGGAGGAAGCCCTCTTACCGGGTAATGGGCTGCCTGTGGCCTTGCACTCCAGCTCGGTGGGAAAGCCTGAAAGGATGGTCTGGTTGATGATCTCTCCAGAGTAGGGAATACTGGGAGGCTCTGAGGGACACACACAAGAGCAGTAATATATCTGATGATACTCTCCTGTCTCCACCTAGCCCCTCGACGCAGAGCACAGAGAGAGACCTACAGTACATGACAGAGACCAGAGATAGTGCTGTGTGTATCTTTAAGTTACCATGGACACTGAGTCGAATGTGCTGTTGGGCTTCACCGGCTGCATTGGTGGCCAGGCAGGTGTATTTTCCAGAGTCCTCCAGTCTTGCCTCTTTGACCTTTAGCAATCTGCCCGACGACTCCAGCTGTTACATACACAAGCAGAAACACACACAGGATATACAACATTAAGACTGGTAACTACCTCAAATGTGAGCAAAGACAGATATTCCACATGTTGCAATATTGTGTCAGTTTTAGAATCAAACAGCTGATACCAATCAGCCAATGACTTCACTGTTTTGCCTGAACTAATGCTATTCTTTATTAGTGTCCTCAGGCAAACGCAGACAATTACTGCTAAAAACTAATCACAGGCCAAGGGGCAACTGTAATGTGTTCCCATCTAGATTACAAAAATAGAACAGGGCCTCATTTATTTTGCGTGGCATGCAAATTCATGAACGACTTACATTGTTTGGTGCATTTCAGGAGCATCGGTCTACATTTTATGTTTGCCTGAAGCTGTTTCTACTCAGGTGGTTCGTCATATAAAGAAAATATATATATTACACTGAACAAAAATATAAACGCAACACTTTTGTTTTAGCTCCCATTTTTCATGAGATGAACTGAAAGATCTAAAACATGTTCTATATACACAAAATAATAATTTCTCTCAAATATTGTTCACAAATCTGAAAAAATCCATTATCCAAATAATCCATCCCACCTCACAGGTGTGGCATATCAAGATGCTGATTAGACAGCATGATTATTGCACAGGTGTGCCTTAGGCTGGCCACAATAAAAGGTCACTCTGAAACGTGGATTTTTGCTTTATTGGGGGGGTCTGGAAACCAGTCAGTATCTGGTGTGAGGGTTAGGATTAGGGTTAGGGTTAGGGTAATGTTGTGAATCGAGTGGCCCATGGTGGTGGTGGGGTTATGGTATGGGCAGGCGTATGTTATGGACGATAACCACAGGCCACTCGATTCACAACATTACCCTAACCCTAACCCTAACCCTAATCCTAACCCTCACACCAGATACTGACTGGTTTTCTGACCCCCCCAATAAAGCAAAAATGCATGTTTCAGAGTGGCCTTTTATTGTGGCCAGCCTAAGGCACACCTGTGCAATAATCATGCTGTCTAATCAGCATCTTGATATGCCACACCTGTGAGGTGGGATGGATTATCTCGGCAAAGGAGAAGTGCTCACTATCACAGATTTTTTCAGATTTGTGAACAATATTTGAGATAAATGGTTATTTTGTGTGTATAGAAAATGTTTTAGATCTCTGAGTTCATCTCATGAAAAATGGGAGCAAAANTGTGTGCCTTGGCAGTCTCAGCACACCTGTGAGGTGGGATGGATTATCTCGGCAAAGGAGAAGTGCTCACTATCACTAGATTTTTTTCAGATTTGTGAACAATATTTGAGATAAATGGTTATTTTGTGTGTATAGAAAATGTTTTAGATCTCTGAGTTCATCTCATGAAAAATGGGAGCAAAACCAAAAGTGTTGCGTTTATATTTTTGTTCAGTGTAATTTTGTTCAATTAGGGTTCCAACCTTAAGGTGCCCCTGTGTTGAGTCGACAGGTCGGCCATCTTTAAGCCAGGTAATGCTGGGAGGAGGGATGCCGCTTGAGATGCACTCTAGACCGATGGTCTTGTGGAGAACCACTGAACGTTCTGCAGGCCCGGTGGTACGAATGGATGGAGGAACTTGGAAAATTAAGAGGATAGAGTTATTCTACTAAAAACAGCAAATTGTGAAAGAGAGACATTAGAAAAAGGCAAAGAGAAGTTTTTACCCAAAGTGGGAGTGTCCATGTGGCTTGCATTTAAAGCACAAATTACATTTATTACAATTATAGTGTTTGCAAAATTATCAACCCTACTTATAGTATTGGTTGTCAGAAAATTATGCATTCTCAAAGAAGAATTTAAAAGAAATGTATAATTTTACCATGGACAACTACTTTGAAGTCCCTCTCGTGGTCTCCTGCTTCATTAGTGGCCACACATTGAAAAGGCGCCGTGTCAGAGACCTGAGCGCGGGAAACGATTAGCCGTCGACCGCTGGCTGCCACACGCAACCCCTCACCCTGTCGGACTGGTTTACCATCTTTATACCACCTGCAAAAGAAAATATTTTGCAGTGAATATATGTGTCTACATGTATATTTTAATCAGTTCACATAAATGCTTGAGATGTAGATCTTACGTGATGACGGGTGCAGGGGTTCCAGTGGCCTGACACTCCAGCTCCAGAGGGCTGTTGATTATCACCGTGCTGTCCGTCACATCATCAGCTCCATCAATGAAAGGAGGGACTATGAAAAAGTAAAAAGTTGGGGACATTTTTTAATTGTATTTAAATGTAGTCAATGCTGGGAAATTAGAATACAACTATGTGTAATGAAATAAATGATTTGCTTATATCTGAATTAGTTAAAGTAAACTTTTATTTTACTTGTATTAACTGTTATTCCATACATTTATTCCTTTTTTTCTTTTGCTGATAGTGACAATAACACAAAAGATAAATCAAATCAAGTTTTATTTATATAGCACATTTTTAAACGATTTTTGGTCGAGCCAAAGTGCTGTACATATAATAAAAATAGCCTACAGTAAAGAAACTTTACAGCAAATACAACAGCACAGTTTGGGCAGAATATCAGTATGAGAAAACGACACCCTCTGTCCTTAGACCCTCACATCGTACAAGGAAAGACTTCCGGAATAAATAACAATGGTATGAAGAATTTTAAGATAAGATCTCCAGCCTGGGGTTTGCTTTTAAACTGAATGTCCTGTTTTTCTTGTGAAGAATCCTTGTGAGTATATCACTCACACGTGCAGAGTCGCGGTGAAGGGACAGGTGTCTGCTTCTCATGTGGAATGCACACATGGTGCAGATAGCAACAGCTTTAATAGGAAGTGACAGTGTTAGATCATGTTTCACAGTTGTCGTGGCCGAGTGGTTAAGGCGATGGACTAGAAATCCATTGGGGTCTCCCCGCGCAGGTTCGAATCCTGCCGACAACGGCATAAACCTTTTCCAGCTGACACGAACTGTTAAAGGCTTTGTGTCAGCTGGGAATGTGACAGGCTTTATCTTTGGGTAGTGATTAGGATTGCTCAGAGTGACTGAATACCAGAGAGGTTACTTCCTATCTGTAATCTGTTAACAGAAGTTTAAAAAACACATTTAGACAACTCAGTTTTTTTCATACCCAGAAGATAGTCCTGCTTTGGCATTTACTGATGGGTTTTGTGAACGAGTTAGAGGAAATACATCAAAGTATATCAATGTTTCTATCAACATGATTTAGTCCCACTTTGAGCCACATAGAGTGCTGTCAGAATAGTTTATGTTTTATGATGTCAACTCCAGCCACATACCTGATAAAATAAGAGTAAGGATTAAATAACCTGGAGCAAAATAATCCTGGCTCTTAGCAGCTATAAAGCACTTGTGGTTACCACCTTTTCTGAAGTGTCTTCTCTCTGATGTATTTTTACCCGGCATTGACTTACTCAAATGTTTGGTTTTCTGTTCTTTATATTTCTTTTGAATCTGCATTTTTTTTTAACAGGGGGGACCACATGCTAAACTGCTGTTCAAAAACTAGGTACAAACATTTATGTCCAAAAAAGAAATGTATGTCCAAAGAACAGTGAGGTCAGGCTTAGGCTTTAGAATAATTATATGACAACATGAATGCACACAATCAAGCCAGCCTTGAAAGTGATTTTATATAATGTTGAAAGGTATTGTATGATTTTTTTGCGCACAGAGATAGGCTACTTGTTTACCAGAAAGTCTAGTAAGTTTGGGTCTGTGTGTGGGTGCTGTGCATGCTACTGTCAGGAGAGGATAGAGAGTGTTTATATACCCAAAACTCTGACGTCGTATTTGACTTCCTTCTCTCCAGCGATGCTTGTTGCCACGCAGACGTAACGTCCCGAGTCTGACACCGTGGCTGAAAGGATTTCGATTTTACTCCCCTGCTCGAGAAGACGGACGCTTTCACCATCGCGCACAGGAACTCCGTCCTTCAGCCATGTGAGAGAGGGGGGAGGGTGTCCCCCAGCCTCACACTCCAGAATCAGAGACTTACTGAGAACAACTTTCCTCTCAGTTGGCCCGTCCTCACCCCCAGCAATGGTAGGAGGCACTGGGGGGGAAAGAACATTTAAAAGGGAACAGAACAAAAGAAGGGTTAAGGCTTCAAATACCTTTTCTGCTTGACTGATGTCTTATTCTCATTGTTGTTCTCCTAGAATATCAAGGATTTTATTTTCACATTTAATTGTTTGCCAAATATCCACAGCTGTTTGAAATTATTCTAGCCTGTTGCAAAGGTCTTTATGGTTTGTGATTGAAACCAAATGCCTTAAAGCCTTGAAAATCTGATTTAATGTCACAATGTGCTCTCGATTTGTTTAACTCACATGGTAAATATTAGCTTCTAAAAGCCTTTTGTTTTAGGTAGACAAAAAAAGACACAGAAAAAACAAATATGTGTATAGATTATAAGATGTCAGAGGTGAAATTCTTACAGTAGACGTCCAGTACAAAGCTCTTCTCAGCGCTCCCGGCCACACTGGTCACCTTGCAGGTGAACAGGCCCGCATCTGATGCCTGCGCGCGGGGGAACTTCAGGTAGTGGCCCCGCTCGACGTACTGAACCTGTCTGTTGGACAGGATGGCCTCTCCGTTTCGATACCAGGTGATGGAAGGAAGCGGCACTCCGCGAGCCTCACACTCCAGTGTTACTGTCGTGTCCAGCAGGGCTGTGGCCTCTGTGGTGATGTTACCGCCTTTGATGGAGGGGGGCACTGGAACAATACCACAAAACTGTGTGAGTAAGCTGTATTTCGTCATGTGAGGTTACCAAATAAAGAGTAGGCTCTGCATATAAGTACATGACTGTGTAGTATGTGTCAAAACTCACCATAAACACTGACGTTAAAGTCCTTGGATTGTTTGCCGGCTGTATTCACGGCAATACACTGGTAGCGGGCCTTGTCTCCAAGACGAGCACTCTTTATCTTCAAAACCTGACCCCTGTTGGTGACCTCCAGGTTTGGATCACCAAGGAACACCAGCCTAGAAACAGATGTTTTAACTGTTTTTCAACTCATTTGACCATTGTTACCATTATAGTGAATGATATATTATTGGAAGGCACTTACTTCCTGTCCTTGTACCACTGGATTGTTGGAAAAGGTACACCTTGTACATTGCATTCAAGACTGATCTCCTGTTTTACAATGGCTGAAACATCTTGGGGAGAGGCTGACCCCACAATGGTTGGTGGGACTGGGGCGAATAAGATATTGTATGTTATAGATCTAATCCCAAATTACATTTGTGTATCAAGGTTTGTTCTGTCTGAAACTATGCAGAAAGTGTTTTTTTCATTAGGAGTTTCCATAGACAATCACTCAATGTCATAACTCACCCAGTATATCCAGGAAGAAGTCCTTTTCTGTGCTGCCAGCGATGTTTATCGCTTTACAGCTGTAGCTGCCTGCATCTGCTGTGGCTGCCTTCAGTAGTCTCAGGGATTTTCCCATGTCAAGAATCTGGATGGTGTTACTACCAACTACCTGTCATTCAATACAAATAAATAAATCAAACACGAAAGCAAAGACAACAGCATAAGTTACAATTCAGGAAATAGTGCCTGACAGTAATTATGGGGCTAATTGTAATACATCATGATAAAAGGATCTAAACAAAAAAAAAAGCTGCTTGTAATTGAGGCATGAAAAACAAAATATGACTAAGAAAACATTAAAAGAAAACATGTTTCTATTACAGCTTGGAGCAAAAAACATTCAGAGAGCATATTGGATTGCTCAGAATTAGCTGATGAAAGTAAGTGCTCTGAATTTCCCTTCTGTGCCCAGCAGGAATCATGTGTGAAGCAGCCAAGGGAACAGAAAGCAGCCAGCAAATTAGATGTTACAACAAAGTGTGTGTTCACTCTCTGTTCTTGCATCAATTTATCATATTTATTCTGTCATGAATACTTTGATTGTGCTGCTACTATGGCTGGCTGGTCAGGTCAGTTCTCTTGGACAGTGCACCCTGTAATCACAGTTTATTCTGTCTTTATGAGCATTTGTATTAAAAGATGACAGGTCATGAAAATGTCTGATTACTGCTATAGTTTTGTGAGCCAAACCTTGTTGATTACTTACTCCGCCACAGTTCAATGGGCAAAGAAAAGTATAAGGCAGCATACTTATACTTGAATAAACTTAATTTGCCCCAAAAACTCTAAATATATGCATCTTTGATGTGTGTATTTACCTTTAAAAGTCCTAACATTTGAAAAAAACACAGAATCTCCTCAGTGTTGTAAATGACAACTGCACACATTGTCAGTATGAAATGTGTGTTAACAGCTTAGTCAATGGGACTTCACTTACAGGAGTCCCATCCTTGTACCAGGTGATGACAGGGGTCGGACTTCCTATGACATCACACACCAAGCTGGTGGACTGACTCAGGACCAGCGACACGTTGCCTGGTGTTTCCCCGTCACGGATAAGTGGGGGCACTGTGGAGGTGTCAATGAGGAGTTTTGAGCATTAGTTTCCAAGAGATGAAATGTATACAAAACATGAGATAGAAATAATACTTCATTTATGGATTAGCAAATAACTTAAAAAGGTTTTTGAAAAGTCAGAGGTCAGAAGAATAGAGAACTGGTCACCGTTAACTTTGAGCTGGTACTTCCTCTCAGTGGATCCAGCATCATTGACCGCAGCACAGACGTACTCTCCGTTGTCCATTGGCGACACAGAGGCCAGAATCAGCAGCGTACCGTCCTCCAGGATGGACACGCCGGGCTCATTACCTGACAACTCCTGGCCATTACGCATCCATCGGATCACTGGCTTAGGAAGGCCTGAGAGAGTGAAGAAGCATAAAAATGAAAACAAATTCATTTTAGGTAACTATATTGTATGTTTTACCAGACAAAGTCCTCAGCATTTGTAAATAAAAGTGTATACTTTAATCAAAAGTAACTTTTAATAGCAGTGTAGGTATGTTTTGTTCCTGTAACAACAACAACAAAATATCAATCTACTTCTTGTTCAGAATATAAATGACCTTTGGCAGGGCAGGGGAATGCGATTCGCTGGTTTGCAACTCTCTCCTGCAACGGACTGTTGAAAGGCGGCTCCAATATCTCGACCACAGGGGGTACTGGAAACCGACAATCACATAATCAATGACAAATGTATACTGCAAAATATATTTTAACACACTATAAAGCACATTCAACAGTTTTAGTATGCATCTTAGAAATATATATGCATTGAATAAGTCGGCATTCAAACAAAGAACTGCACACTAAACTGAACTTGTGGTACATTGTGTATTATTTCAACATGTCAACATTTTTTTCAACATACAGTCATTATTTATAATAATTTCGAATTAGAATTGTTTAAAAAATACTGCCATGAAAAAAAAGTACAAAATATGATGTGATGTTTCTGAAACATTTCAACACAAATAAACATAATGAACACAGTAGGAGCACGTTAGTTCAAGGACATGAATTGGATCCCACCTTGCACCAGCAGCCGGACTCGGGCCTCGGCCCTGCCTGCGGTGTTGGTGGCTATGCAGGTGTAGGTCCCTTCGTCAGCCAGACCCACGTTTCTAAAAGCCAGGCTGCCATCAGGTGAGACTTGGAACCTCTGACCATCTCTTGTCCAGGTGAGGGTGGGCTCCGGGACCCCTCTCACCACGCAGGGCAGCTCCACAGGGTACCCCATCTGAACTTTCATTACCCTGGGGCCAGCCTGGATACTGGGGGGCACTACAGGACAGAGGACCAGATTTAATAAGGTTTAGAGGGAGTTATGTTGCCCTGGATGTAAAGATTGTATAGTTTATGTTCTACTGTCATTCAGAAGAACATCATGTTATCCCAATGACAGTATGTCTTTACTGCAACTTCCTCAACTCTCTTGGCTTATGTGTGATTATTGAATAGGTTGTTTTTAAGAATTCCAAATGATTGCATTACGTTAGATCATGTGATGTTCTTTTGAGGGGCCATAGAGTGCCTTTATTTATAGATATAGCATTAAAAGGGGGGAGACAGAGGGGAGGAAATTGCCTTGTATTATTTTGAGCCAGTGTCGAACCTGTAAAGGGCAGCTGATACAGTATATGGGCCGCCAACCCGTCCTTAGAACAAATAGCCTTAGACAAACTCATATCAGTGCATTCATAACATAATAAAGGTTATACCACTGTTCAGTAACCCTCAATAACATCAATATTAAACCTTTGCTAGAAATTCTGATCTCTGAACTTACCCAAAACACTCAGATCAATGAATGTTGTCAGGTTGCCAGCGATATTCGAGGCAACACACACATAAAGCCCACTGTCTGACACTCTGGTCTCCAAGATTTTCATAGAGCCCGAGGAAAGCTGAGTGTGCCTGTGAGGAGCACAATCAGAAACAGAAAAAACAATAAACTAAACTGCAAAGTGAAAAATTGCTTCATTACTAGACCGCAGCAGTGCACATGGTGTTGTTGGATTATCTTTCAAAATAATCAGTGCTGTGTTCTGTATGTGTTACCGGGGAGAGAAAGGGGAGATGAGCTGCCTCTCCTTGGCCCAGCTGATGGTGGGAGGGGGGACACTGTTGACCTCACATGGCAGAATGGCGTCCTCGCCCTCAACCACCGTCATTGGCTCAGCTGAGCCTCCAGCACCACCAACACTGGATCTAGGACGGACTACGCACACATAGACAAAACAGCAACTCAATTCAAAGGCCTTAGATTAATGTGACTGTTACACACAACATATGAGATGCAAACAAAGAGGGTTGATTACAAAAGCAAAAAACAACAACAAATATTTGTTAAAATTGGCTCTTGTTGAGTTGAGTGTGTTATATAGTTCCTTTATTCAGTACGGTATTTGCAATAGCTCATTGTGCATTTATATGCTTTTACATATCCAAAAATACAAAGTCATACAACGCAGTAAACATGGACAGTAAAACTGTGAGGAAAGTGGTAAAATTACTTTTCCCGCACCTATAGAGCCATGGAAAATGGGTGTGAGTGAGAGCAGTTCATGTTCAGAAGTTTGGCCTTAAGAATCTATAGGAACGGGCATTTACTACATTGGACCTGCGCCTGGACATGGTAAACTACAATTAAGTTGAAAACAATTATCCAAAATTAAGTATAGCTGTTTAGTTGTGTCAAAAATCTATCCTTTATTAGTGGAGTCGCTTTTTTTTGTAAAATCTGACATGATTAAAGTTAAATGCTACTTATAGGTCCTAACACACTTGTCCAGATGTTGCTTAGCATTTAGCTGGTGATGAGTTTTACCATAGACTGTGAGCTGGACCTTCCTGGCTGCATGGCCTGCAGCGTTGGTAGCTGTGCAGAGGAACTCTCCAGTCTCGTTTCCAGAGGGGGAGGTGATGAGGAGGCTGCCGTCAGAGTCCATGGAGAAGGCTGGACCACCCAAGTTCAGCAGCTCCCCACCCTACAAAAGAAACCGCAGCAGGGAAAGGGCAGGGGCCGTGGTTTGTTTCATTAACTCAGCTTTATTAACACTGATCAGGAAACAGGAAGGCTGTGTGACCTACTAAGCGTTCTTAAATTGATTATTTGATCTTCTCTCTTCTACTTTTGAATGGAAAGGCTTTAAATAAAAGTGTTATAGTTTATACATTAAATAAACCAAAGCACAAAGCAAATGTGACGTCAGTGCGTCAGGATTTAATCATCTCTGCATTGTCCTAACTTGACTTGATTGATGTTATACAGAACAGCAAGGGAATCACATTTTAACAGCTGGTGCAAAACATAGCAGGGTCTAGTTTTATATGTCCCTGCAGCCCTGTTCACTTTAAACGCATCACTTTTACAACTCAGAGAAACTAGTGATAAATGGAAAAAAGGGAGGAACTGTCCATGAACACACATTTCACAGGGACTTATTCCGGTGTGAACGCGATCTGCTCTTTAGTTCATCAGAACTAAAGAGTACTGATGAACTAAGTTCTGATGAACTAAGTACGGCAAAGTACTTGGTGTGAAAGCGCCTAATGGCTTACAGTCCACACTAACACACAAAAGTGCACATGTAAAGACGAAGAACACATCCTAATGCACAGAGGTGGAACTAATTTCACAAGCATCCCAAGGCAAACACACATATCCTCACAGAGACACACAGAAATGTTCCTTGTATGTGCTATTGTCTTGCCAGAGCCAATCAATAAAGTAAGTATTGTATTAAAATATAAATAGAAACCCTGACCTTTGGCAACACAAGGACCTGTTCTCTTGTAGTTCAAAAAGTAGATTCACAGCTGGATTTTTTAAAGTTGAGCTTGTCTATGTCCAAGACTGCACAACTACACTACACGAATACACATAGTAAATGTTTGGAATATTAATGAGCTGCACAACAGCATTCACTTATAAGTAAATAGTATATCTGTGCAAGGATATGTGATTCAAGACATCATATAATTCCATGTGAAGCTGTCATTTAATCAATATTTCGAATAGAATGTGAAGACATTGCCTACTTTGGAGAAGGAGCTTTACGAATGCTGCATTTTTGTGGAGTTCCAACTTGGGAAAAATAAACCAAATTGGATGAATAATGTACTTTTATGTGGTTTCCCTCATTCTCCCTTTGAATTTTTTTCCATTTATGGAGAGAAATTAAGGTCTTTAGTTGCAGGAAATGAGAGCATCACCGCAATCACAGAAGTGGCTCTTACTTTGGCCGACTTTCAACTAAGATAGGTAATGCCAACACATACCTTGGCCCAGGTAATGTCAGGGGGGGGAACTCCACTGGCACGGCAGGGCAGAGTGATGGGTGTGCCCTCAATTGTGTTGAACACCTGAGGGCCATACTGAATTGTAGGAATTACTGCAAACATAAGAAGAAGAAGAAGAAGAAGAAGAAGAAGAAGAAGAAGAAGAAGAAGAAGAAGAAGAAGAAGAAGAAGAAATGCACAGTAGGTTAATATTTTTTTGTGAATGTTCATGTGTTTAGCTCTTCTGTGTGTTTTTCTGTGTGTGTCTCTTGTCCCTCCCTCTTCTATCTGTCTTTTTCTTGTTGTTTTCTTACACCACCAAGAATCTGCAGAAAAGATCAGCCCTGGGAGGCCTGGAGCATCTTCTTGGAAATAAAAAATGTGATTCAACTAAACAACAAAATCACAACAAGCGTACACATTACGAACAAGTATTGCATGTCGTTCTTCTTTCTGTACTCTTTGCATGTATTTAGCGTTAATTAGCCTATATGGAAAGTATTTCTAATAGGTTATATCAAATGTAACTATTGTCTGAGCTACATATTGTAAATGTCCAGTGTGTTGTGAATGGACAGCTGAAAATGACTGATTTCATGAGGGAGATTGTATGTACTTGCTGCGGACAATTGCGATTTAAATTGTTAGAATCTGGCAATGACTGACTTTAGTATAAATAGAGAACACATTTTTCCCTTTCACTGTGCTCTAAATGTCGCTATCACCTTAAGCTGCTGGTTTTAATGTTACCTCAAAGATAATCCTATTCATGAGGGTTAACAGCCCTCTGCAGGGAAAGGAAATATTTAAGCGGCCCATTGACAAGAGGAGGAGGTAACAGAATAAAAGAAAGAGGAAAAACAAAGGGGACATTTCATATCCAACAAAAAATGGACAATAGGCCTTTTTCATCGAAGATGTATTAGCATTGACTTGGAAGAAAAAGCACTGGGAATATTAACATTAAACCTGGCTCATTCACATGAAGTGCCCCAGTATGCACAATACCAACCTGGAAGTTTAGTGTGTTCTAATCCATATATTACATGTTTATAAACGGCTTATAAAAGTTTGATAGGGAGACTTCATAAATGTTTTGCTAGACAAAGGTATAAAAGCACAAAATACATATTTATAATGCGCAAAAAACATGCATTTGCATTACACCCCTTTCTAATCAGCAGAAATATCCTATCTCCAATTATTTATTCAATGTATGTCCAGCTAGTGCTCAAAAAGTACCTGGCAGACACACACATTGTGTTTGTCATCATGTGTGTGAATATGCATGTCTGTTGACAGTTGTATATTTATGAACATTACCATAGACATTGACAGTGGTGGTATGGTTGGTGGCCCCGATAACGTTTTCAGCCAAACAGATGTAGTCACCAGCATCATCCAGCTGGACTCTTTCAATATGCAGACTGCCGTCCCTCCTCACTGTCAGATACTGGTCTGAGGTCACCTGAAAGTTATTTTTGGGAAATTGGTTAAACACATTAAACAAAAAAGACACGGAAAAACAAACTTTACATTTTCTCTTTGAGTACTCACCAGGCCGTAGTTGTGTAGCCATTGCCTCTCAGGCAGCGGATTCCCAGCCAATAGCACACAGGGCAGAGTCACCTGCTGGTCCTCGACCACATTGAGCACAGCCGGACTGATGGCAATGACCGGCGACACTGCAGATTCCACGCAAACAATTATCGTCAAAGGAAAACTGTTGTTTCATGAGTGGTTGTATTTCATTAAAAAAAAATATATATATAGTAATGATCAAATGTCGTTAAGTCTCACTCCACCACTCACTCCACCCTCACAAAGGAAGACATGACATCTTATTATGCTCAGACGGATACATCCTGAACTAATATTCATCTACCTAGAGATGCAATAATGTGTGGTGATGTTAATTGTAAGGATGCAAAGCATAGGAGTGATATCTGCTCCATGTACAATGATATAGTAAGTATGCTCTGTATGAAGGCAGTAAGCCTTACTACAAACGTAACAATAAGGCACATAACATCAGGCCTGGCTGGAATAGGTATGTAGCTGAGTATCATGCTGAAGCCTGTGAAGCCACTAAATCATGGGCAATGGCAGGCAGACCCAGACAAGGGTCTGTATTTGAGTACAAGAAGCTTACTAATGCAAGATACAAGTATGCTATTCGCTTCATCTGTAAAAATGAGCAAGCTATGAGGGCCGATTCCATGGCTAAGAAGCTGCTAAGTAACAATGTTATGGATTTTTGGAAAGAAGTGAGGGTTATTAATAAATGCAAAATATCTCTACCATGCACTGTTGACGGAACATCCGGAACAGACAATATTGCATGGTGTTATGGCGACAGCCATGGGTGTAACTTTGGTTTGAGAAGTGGGGGGGAGACAAAACAGGGGGTCCTCCGCAATGAAACATTTTCTCAATTTCATTCCATTTCCTGCTTTTCGACAAATATATTATGGACTATAGTGTTAACAAATCCAAGAAAAATGTTAAGTGTATATAATGAGTGTGCACACTTATCTAGTATCCTAATCCATGTGAACCTGTTTTATTTGTGACAACCTCACATCCTCTAGGGGGGGCCGGGGGCATGCACCCACGGGAAGATTTTTTTCTTTAAACTGAAGTTGAATGTATCAATCTGGTGCACTTTGAGGGCAACATTAAGAGATTTATGGATACAGTTCTCAACACTCATATGAAACAGAACTGTATATATTTCAATAATAAAAAAAAACATTAGAATATGCTCACAACCAATAACAAATCATTGATAAACTCCTCTCTCCTATNTACTCACGTCAACACCCGGATTCCGCCACCAACCTCAGTGCTGCCAACAGTGATTTGACACGGTCTGTGTGATGTGACAATACCGTGTGTGTGTTTTTGTGTGTGTGTGTGTGTGTGTGTGTGTGTGTGTGTGTGTGTGTGTGTGTGTGTGTGTGTGTGTGTGTGCGTGCGTGCATGCGTGTACAAACAGGAATAAGGTTTGGGCGTGCCTGATAAAATAGTGGCAGATGATGTTGTAAATGCAGATCAGATCAGAGAGGCAATAAAGCATGTTTCCTGTACACATCGGGCCAACAGGAGTTCATATTTGCACACATACAAGCACAGAGCATATTTGTATTTAATGGAATCAATTGTAATATTCAATGGATCACTGCAATTGAATATGAACAGACTTACTTGAATGTAGACGTACATTAATTACTAATAAGTACTTTAAAGATTAAAATGAACAAGATTTGATTGTTTCAGGCTTTTAAATGTAAGAATGTGATGCTTTTTTTGGTCTCACTTGATGAATAATTATGGGTATATATTTACACCTTGTGCTTTAGTGTATTGTGTTGGTCATTTCCCACTGTTTGTTTACCGATGTCATGGACTAAATGGCTGATCCAGGAAAAAGCCTCAGATACATTTAATATTGAAAATAATCACTTGTTGCCACCCTTCTTTCCAGTTAATCCACAAACTCTGTCAAAAAAGTGGAAAATTATCAGTAAAATCATGAATGTTTTACCAAACTAAATGTACTATTACTGCTGCAATTTATAGCAGATGCCTATTAATTGACAGTAGCTACAACAACCATTGACATTTATCAATATGTTCAACCCCATCAACTTAACTGGTTATGTCCAAATGAGCCAACATTAGAAAGAAAATATATAATTACTGATGCATAAAACAATAATTATAGTTACATTTACTGTCTTGAGGTTTAACCTGATATAGCATCTGGGTAACACTTCTTTGGATGACAGCTTGCGCCTCGACGCACTCCGTGACGGTATTTCATAGTCAGGGTAGGGCTGTGCAATTAATCGTATTTTAAATCGCGATTACGATTTTGGCCTGCCACAATTACGAAAACAACATAATCGAAAAAAAACGATTATTTAGCTTTGCTAGGTTGTGACAGTGCACTGCAACATATTTGATCTAATTTATTTTACAGTAATTTATTTTTATTTATCATATTTATATATCTTTAGTAGCTTGTGGAAGTGCGCTCCAAAATATTTGTTGATCTTGTTTATTGGTATTTATTATTTTGATATTATTTATTTAAATTTAAATATAAATGTATCATTTTGCACAGCCCTAAATCAGGGTCATTTGTTTTTTGTCTAACCTTGCTTCGTGCAAGTGACAATTGTTGTCGTCTTCTCTGTGAATGTTTTTTTCGCTGTTCTTTTGCCATTTTGAGATTTAAATTTCCAGTGGAAAGCTAAACCAGGAAGTGTTTTAGCACACCACGTGACACATCTGAACGAATCACGTTCCTCACCAGCCAATGAGATTTCGTTTTTTGGTTTAAGACCCCTTTGTACTTTCACGATTGGTTGCTGATACAAAGGAAATAACCATATTTGGATCCGATGAGATTGTGCAGGAGAGACAGTTTTCCAACGATACCTCTGATTACATGGTGCAAACAGCGGTCGCGGTACTTTACGTTAGAATCAGGGTTCTAGTTATAAACTGCGCTCTATGGGGTCTTTAAAACTAACGCCTGCGCGTACATGCATTGCGCACGCCCACACACACACACACACACACGATGCCTTAAGACAGTAGCTACAACAACCATTGACATTTATCAATATGTTCAACCCCATCAACTTAACTGGTTATGTCCAAATGAGCCAACATTAGAAAGAAAATATATAATTACTGATGCATAAAACAATAATTATAGTTACATTTACTGTCTTGAGGTTTAACCTGATATAGCATCTGGGTAACACATCAATCAGCCCCTTATCTGCCACACATCACACAAGCATCCACATTCAATAAACCGGTTAAAAGGTGACATAAAGCGCTATCGTATTCAGAAGTTTCAACATTAGCTCATCCAACCAACAAAGTGCAACCAGTACTACCGCATTTTATTTATCACCCAGAATGCTTTTCAGCAGCACAGTACTGACAGCAACATGCTGTGCCCATGCTAAGAATTCAAAGACAGTTATCACAGATGCCAAACCAGCGTGATTTATTACACAAATGCCAGGTGTTTGTGTGGTGGTTTGGTGGGTGGGTGGGGTGTTGTTGTGGGGTGTGTCGGGGGGTGGGGTGCGTGGTTGTGTTGTTGTGTGTTGTGGTGGTGGGTGTTGGTGGTGGTGGTTGGTGGTGTGTTTGTGTGGGGTTTTGGTTGTGGTGGGTGTGGGTGGGGGTGTGTGGGGTGTAGTGGGGTGTGTTTTTGTGTGTGGCTCAATGGTAACCTCAATCAGAAGTGGTTGTTCGTACTGGGAGGCCTTCTGTATGATTAGATGAGATGTATAATTGTGTGGAAGGAGCGGGAGCGCCTGGTGTCCGCGCTGGGGATGGGTCGTGGGGTGGGGGTAGTGTGGTTTGGGCAGGTGGGATGGTGTGTCGGTTAGAGGAGAGAGGTAGTGGGGAGTGTGGAGAGGAGAGAGAGGGTTTGGTCATGAGCGAGAGCGCGACGGATTGGGAGCGCGATCGGTTGTGTTGCTGTGGGGGCGCGGCGTGGCGTAGTGGTGTTTTGCGGGAGGGGTGTGAGGATGGGTGGCACGGGAAGGTGGACTAGGTGGTGTGAGTGCGTGGTTGTACGGAGAAGCGTGGGAGCCGTGGGTGGGTGGCGCGGAAGGCGTAAAGTTAATCTATGTGTAGTTTGGTCATGGTGTTTTGTTTGTTATTAACGGGGTATTCTGCACTACTTACTTTATGCTCTTGGGATTTGATTGTTTGAAAATGACCGAGATTGGTTTGACTGTTGTACCGCGTGGTGTCATCGTTAGTTTGGAGTGCGTACAGAGTCCAGTAGAGTACGAAACAGATTTTGATTGTGACTGCTTAGCAGAGTGGGCCATTAAGGATGCAATGCGGGCGACATTGGGGTGTTCGTTGGGGTGCGTCCATGTAGTGTTTTTTTGTGGTAATTTTTTGTTGTAGGTCCTTTTGTGTGTGTTGTTTTTTTTTTTTTTTTTTATATATTCTTTTTTTGTGTGTGTAGCGATGGGATCGTTGGGTGAGCCAAAAATCCAGTTGGGCGCAAGCCATAATTTTTTCTTTGCTGCAAAAGCAGTCGTATTTTATTTAGTTTTTGTTAGATCCGTCTTATTGTGTTTTTAATAAGTTGTTTTTTTTAGATTGTATTGAAAATAAAAATAGAAAATAATAATAAATTTGAAGCACTAATGGACACTTTACTTACAAGTGAGATAGGTGGGAAGTTCTATGTTCTAGTGTGTTGGGTTAGTATTAAGTTTTTATTGCGTAATTCACGTACGATAGAAACTATCGGACTTTCAAATTAACTCGATTCTAATCGCTCTGACCATCTATAAAATTAGATATGATAAGTATAGTTAGTTTACGAAAGGAGTGGCAGAGTTAGTACGCAAATAACAATGATCCCCTAATAACGGAGAAGAGAAATAAACTCACTATGTAATAAGGAGCGAGAAGAGAGGGAGAGAGTTTTATGTTTGATTTTAGAGAGACAAAAAACACTAGTAAAAAGGACGACATAGGCTATGTTTCATTGAGGCATGGCAGCGTTACTCTCGTTCTGAGTACCGATCCAAAACACTACGATCATCATGACCCTTTTATGTCTAATAAAAGTCATGTGCGTTTACGTCGTGGCATACGACATTGCTCTTAAAATAAATAAAGACTCCACTTA